TAAACAGTATAGCATGATGCTCAAAAGACCCAAAGTCGCCAAATGAAATGGCCTTACAGCTGAGAGCATTAGTAAAAATAGAGGCTGTCCCCCCACCCTTTTTCCCTTTTCTGATAGAGTATGAAAAGCTGTAGTCCGGGGGGAGGCTTCAAAAAGAGCGACACTACAGTCTGATAATAATAATAATAATAATAATAATAATAATAATAAGCCATTTAGCAGACGCTTTTATCCAAAGCGACTTACAGTCATGCGTGCATACATTTTTGTGTATGGGTGGTCCCGGGGATCGAACCCACTACCTTGGCGTTACAAGCGCCGTGCTCTACCAGCTGAGCTACAGAGGACCACCATGTTTCAGTGAGAAACATACATTTACATTTTAGTCATTTAGCAGACGCTCTTATCCAGAGCGACTTACAGTTAGTGAATACATATATTTTTTTTCATACTGCCCCCCCGTGGGAAATGAACCCACAACCCTGGCGTTGCAAACGCCATGCTCTATCAACTGAGCTACATCCCTGCCGGCCATTCCCTCCCCTACCCTGGACGACGCTGGGCCAATTGTGCGCCGCCCATGAGTCTCCCGGTCGCGGCCGGCTGCGACAGAGCCTGGATTCGAACCAGGATCTCTAGTGGCACAGTTAGCACTGCAATGCAGTGCCTTAGACCACTGTGCCACTCAGGAGACTACACATACAATCAACTTTGCGCTCAGTAATGAGGTAATTTACGAGAAAGGTTTTACTTGTGATTGCTCTAACATTTAAAAGTGCCATATTCAATGAGTGTGGGAAACTCTGCCCCTGGGGCATCTGCCTCGAGGTAACCAATGGAATAACAACCACATTATTAATGTTACAACCTTGTTTTCTGAGGTAGATTACCATTTGTATAAACTCACTAGAAGGCAGAGTTAAATGAACATAAATTAGGTTACTCACAATAACCATAGTGCCATTTCTACAGGAGTAGATATGCTTTCCAAGTCCTCTGTTGCTTATTCTGACAGGGAGAACTGGAGCACTACCAGACCCTGTCCTTCAATCTCTAAAACAGTTTGCGATGTTGCTGGAAATAACCCTGAAACCCCTGCTCCCACAGCATATCAAAGAGTTCACAAAAAATACATTCCTGTCGTGGGCAAAGTTACTTCAGGTACTCGTTCAGGGCAAAGAGTCGGCTGAAATGTTCCGAACCCCTTCTGTAGCACGGGAGGGGACAGAGATATCTTCCTTGTGCTAGCAAGGGTGTTTAAATAAATGTTGTAGTCCTCACTCAGATCGGCTAAAACGAAGGTCGTTAAAACTTGTGAGTGACGATGGTGTCAATATTGGAGTAGTTGGCCAGAACTGTGGCCAGAACTGTGGGCAGGAGGGAGTTGATGTCATGGACACAGGCTCTTGGGGGACAGTGGACCTTGGTCAGTCCACAGATCGTAGGCAGGCCAAAAACTCTCACCATCGAGCTGCCCACAATGATGGTGGTCGTGATGGAATCCTATGGGGAAGCGACCTGCTGAACTGTGGTGGCTGTGGGGGAGGGGGCCACTGGGCGGCCACTGGCTGTTGGTATACACCCATGATCCATGCTGACTCCCGGGGCTGGTAGGTCCGTCTCAAACGGGGCAAAGCTGTTTGATAGCTGGATCGGATCTTCTCGGATAGATGAAGGGTGGCCAGACTGCCTACCCGATCTACTTCGCTTTGCGAGTGTCTATTCTCTCATGGGAGGCGGAGTTGAGCTTAACATCTGTCCATTGGATTGGGACAGATCAACGCCGCCTGACTCATCGACAGCTTTGCTAAAGGAGGCATTTATAACTGAGATTCAGTTTGCCTGGGTTACAGCAAGGTCGGTGTACTTAGAAAGCAGATTCATATTTTTTCTTAGCCGAGCTAACAGCCGGAAGATCTCTTCCCTATGCTGCTTGATGGCGGTGCATTTAGGGCAAACAAATCCCTGTCCATTTTCCAGTTCCACCTTATCTTCATCTTGTGATTGTGTGGAAATCATCTCACACCTGAAGCATGTGCCCAGCCATGGATAAAAACACAGGTGGGCTAGCACTGCTAGCGTTAGCCTGCTCCGTTTTCATGATGGCATAAGACATAAGGCTCCTACTTTAGAGTGGTGTCATTAGCTAGGTTTCCATCCAATTGGCAACAGAGTTTCATGCGAATATTCTAAAATAGAAATAAAATATGCACATTTTCCCACCAGTTTACACCAAACTGACTTGTTGCAGATAGAAATCAGTGCATAATGACGTAGTGCACACAAAATGTACTTTTTCGATTACGTTTTCATGTATTGAATAAAAATCGGAAGTTGTGTGTTTCCATCGCATTTTCAACTAGTTTTGTCACAAAAACTGTTGCGTTAAATAGCAAATGTGTCTTGGCACATGTACATCTCACAGATAGTGTGGAAAGGCTGTGTGGGTAGGCTCTACATAATTTGATTATTATGGATAAGAGCGAGAATATTTGTATTTGTCAAATGGCAGGCGCGTCAAGATCAGCGTGCACTTTCACCACCCTGTGAAGTTCATCATAACTTATTTTATCTGTAGCCTACTAAATTGCATGGTTTCCTGAGTCGTAGTGGGAGGACCACACGCCATATCATCACGTGGCTCCAAGTTTACTTCGACATGATGGTTTTTATATCAGTATTTGGCGTTTCCGCTGCCATTTCTCACATAATTACTTTTAGAGACACAAAAAGATCCCACCATGTCGAACGAACAAATTATTGGTCTGCATTCATAAAATGGTACCTTAACTTCCTGTTTCCATCACAGCTATCATTAATTTGTTTTATTCTGTATGACTTTACTCGCATAGAAACTGTGGATGGAAACGTGGTTAGTGATAAGATAAATGGTAATAAGCAATACACTCCAAGTCGGTGGACACCAACTGGTCAATCTCCAAGGCATTCCTAATCGATCAACAAACATTTCTGTAAAAAAAACTACGATATCGTTTCGCGCTGTTGCCGGTAGGAGCACTTGATTAAGCAGCCCTAGAGCCAGGAAGGCAGTGTGCCTCTCCGGCAGGCCCATAGAGCAAATCAAGTACACCTATAGGCTTACCGCTGGCCAATCAGATAGCTCAGATCACAATGTCTGCACATTTTCCTCAAGCCATTGACTGTAAGAAGAAAATAGCAAAGAGCAGCTGTTTTAATGAAATGCGTGTTCTCCATACTTCCACTCACACTACAACCAGCACTGACGCTGCAGTGAATTGAGTATAGCGTGTTCCGATAAGCTTACGTTGTTATTATTAGCGGCTTGTGTTTTTTTACATCTAGGAATATTTCACTTTCACTTTTCATAGAAGTAACAACATGAATTGGTGCATGAGGCAGAAATAATGCAGTGCGACTTGAGTTTTGCCATCAGCTGGAAGACTGTGACCCCTTTTATCAGCTGAGGGAGGGAGAGCGGAGGGACAGTGAGAGGCAGCCTCACTGCTGCTCCTTACCTCCCCTCAGACTGACAATCAGATGCAGGCCATCAGTCCAGTGAAAATTTTAAATATATACTTTTCATCAAGGATCTCTCTGTACTTTTCTCAGTTCATTTTTCCCCTCGATCATGACTAGTCTCCCAGTCCCTCAGCCCCTGCCACTGAAAAACATCCCCACAGCATGATGCTGCCACCACCATGCTTCACTGTAGGGATGGTGCCAGGTTTCCTCCAGACGTGACACTTGCCATTCAGGCCAAAGAGTTCAATCTTGGTTTCATCAGACCAGAGAACCGTGTTTCTCATAGTCTGAGAGTCCTTTAGGTGCCTTTTGGCAAACTCCAAGCGGGCTGTCATGTGCCTTTTACTGAGGAGTGGCTTCCGTCTGGCCACTCTACCATTAACGTCTGATTGGTGGAGTGCTGCAAAGATGGTTGTCCTTCTGGAAAGTTCTCCGATCTCGACAGAGGAACTCTGTCAGATGGACCATCGGGTTCTTGTTCACCTCCCTGACCAAGGCCCTTCTCCGCAGATTGCTCAGTTTGGCCGGGCGGCCAGCTCTAGAAAGAGTCTTGGTGGTTCCAAACTTCTTCCATTTAAGAATTATGGAAGCCACTGTGTTCTTGGGGACCTTCAATGCTGCAGAAATGTTTTGGTACCCTACCCCAGATCTGTGCCTCGACACAATCCTGTCTCAGAGCTCTACGGACAATTCCTTCGACCTCATGGCTTGGTTTTTGCTCTGACATGCACGGTCAACTGTGGGACCTTATATAGACAGGTGTGTGCCTTTCCAAATAATGTCCAATCAATTGAATTTTCCACAGGTGGACTCCAATCAAGTTGTAGAAACATCTCAAGGATGATCAATGGAAACAGGATGCACCGGATCTCAAGTTCAAGTCTCATAGCAAAGGATCTGAATACTTATGTAAACAAGGTATTTCTGTTTTATAGTTTTTATACATTTGTAAAAATGTCGAAAAACCTGTTTTCGATTTGCCATTGTGTGTAGATTGATGAGGAAAACATTGCAATTTAATCCATTCTAGCCCTAGCACTACAAAGCGGATTCAAATAATCAAAGCTTGATGATTAGTTGATAACCCTGCATAGAGATACACTGCGTCATCCTCAAGGTTTTTCAAATCCCCACATGCAACAATAAAAGTTAACAGTGAGCAAGTCCACATTTTCATCTCAAATGTATTAATGAAATTGACTGGGCTTCGGTTAATATTGAATTATAATATAATAATAATAATAATAATAATAAGGCACAGGGTAAGTTTAAAAAATATATATTTTCTGATTTTTACTGCCTTGAAACCTCATTTAACATCATATATTTAGAAAATGATTCCACTTTGTCCCAAAAAGATGATGGCTTTATTATTAGACTAAGTAATGTATTCTAAGTGCTCTACAAAAAGGCCAGTCTATCTAGGCTGTGCAGACAGTAAGATATAGGTGTTGGGTGATGTTCTTTGCTAGGGCATAATGAGCGGTCAGTGTTTATCATGAGTGGTCATTATTGGAGGGCAGGTGTTTATCGTCAGCGGTCAGAGTTGGGGGGAAGCCGTTGGCTGCTGGGCCTGCTTTATTAGTGCCCTGCTGGAATCATAGAATACAATTGTTATTTTACATATTGATATGCAACATATGCATCCCTAATCCTTCCTCTCTCCAAATAACTCTTTACAGAATTGGCACACTGCAACAAGAAGCTGTAAATATCAACCACATCTCTTACCTGCTCGTTGAAGCTCTGTCCCATTTTGGTGCCCATGAGCTCATGGTCCATCTCGTCCATGTACTTCCTAAGACCTTCCAAAGCATCTGCCCCTTCATCCCCTCGCAGTCCAGAAGGACCCTCCCCTCCCTCATCGACGTCATCTAGGTCGTCTGAGTCCAACTCCTCATCCTTAGCCCGAGATATTTACATAGCACACAGGTAAAAAGTACACTGACCACCACTCCTAGCTAGTTCTACTGTGACATATGGCCTTCATATAGCACTTACTACTAGCAACTACATACCCAGTAGTCTGTTCAGTGCACTGGCCATGGAGTCTGGATCAAACACGAAAGGCTAATTTGAACGGGACCTGTAAAATAAACAAAGGCAAATTACATTGATACCCATTACAGTCAGCCAGCCAGCCAGCCAGCCAGCTAGCATACGTTAGCATTCTACACAGTATTATCTCATAGCAGTTAGCACACCGCATACGGGGCTAAGTAGAACAGTGTGGACAGACAGTCAGTCTCACCAGGGTAGTTCAGCCCCCTCATGTGAAGACATTCCGTTGATGAAGTTCTTCATGCCCTGGGTCACAGCCACCAGGCTGTAGCTACCACCCCCCCTTCCTTCCCTCATGCGTTGGTTTGGTCTGGCTGGGCTTTGAGCAGCCCAAACCCACTCCTCCCCTCCCCCTTTCCTCCAACAGACACTCCAGCTGCTGGGCTGAAATATCCAGCCAACTCTCCTCTGGAGATGGGGGCGAGATGAGAGAAAATCAGTGTTTCCATCAACCCTGATAAGCTCATTCTAGCTTATCTTTATGGAAACTGCTTACTTACCCAGTTTACGATATGGGTATGTTCAGTAAAGGCTGAACCCTTCCTCTAAATCAGCAGGCCTTATGACTGTGTGGTTTTATCTAACATGAAAGCCAGCATGCTACTTTGTGGTGTGAACATATCAGTGCGGTAAGTGACATAACTGCAGGTACTTTACTCAATACACCTGAGCTGGTAGACTGAGTGACTGTTGCACTGTAGTAATAGGATGTGTTTTACTCACTGTCCTCTGTGGGTAGATGGGCCTCTCATGTCCTCAGTTCATCCACATTGTAGGGAGCACAGCTCTGTAGCAGCTGAAGGATCTCCTCACCTGGGGCCCTGCCACCGGAGCTACAAACACACACAGGATAGCGTATTCACACACATACGGGACACATGTACACAAACAGACACCAGTGTTCCTGCAGTCAAGCAGAGAGCACTCACCTGTGTGTTGGGGTGACTGACTGCTTGAAGAAGTACTCTGCAGTATGCAGAGCCCTGCAGCTCCCCCTGCCACAGACAACCACAATAACACTACGTCACCAAAGGGGATAACATTATGAATCACTGACAATTGCAATGCTAACAGCCCGACACCGCTATCCTCATTGAAACGTGAAATAGAGAGCTGTTATGAGTAATCTAATAAATATTACTGTTCAGGAGTTTAAAAATATATATATCTTACTGGTTAGCTAGCAACAGAGATTAGCAGTCTGGCAAACTGAACAATTATGAAATAATTATTTACTTTTATTTGCAAGATTTCATATCTTTTGTTTCTGTTGCTAACCAGTAATAGAACAATTATACTCAAACATGAGTAATCAGTTCTCTGGGTTAACCATCAATAGAAGCAAATGTCCATGCTGTCAAGATTAAAGCTGTCTAATAACCATTAGGCTACAGAAAGTGCTCTGATGTACAGTCGTGGTCAAAAGTTTTGAGAATGACACAAGTATTGGTCTTCAAAGTTTGCTGCTTCAGTGTTTTTAGATATTTTTGTCAGATGTTACTATGGTATACTGAAGTATAATTTCAAGCATTCCATAAGTGTCAAAGGCTTTTATTGACAATTACATTAAGTTTATGCAAAGAGTCAATATTTGCAGTGTTGACCCTTCTTTTTCAAGACCTCTGCAATCCGCCCTGGCATGCTGTCAATTAACTTCTGGGCCACATCCTGACAGATGGCAGCCCATTCTTGCATAATCAATGCTTGGAGTTTGTCAGAATTTGTGGGTTTTTGTTTGTCCACCTGCCTCTTGAGGATTGACCACCATTTCTCAATGGGATTCAGGTCTGGGGAGTTTCCTGGCCATGGACCCAAAATGTTGATGTTTTGTTCACCGAGCCACTTAGTTATCACTGTTGCCTTATGGCAAGGTGCTCCATCATGCTGGAAAAGACATTGTTCGTCACCAAACTGTTCTTGGATAGTTGGGAGAAGTTGCTCTTGGAGGATGTGTTGGTACTATTCTTTATTCATGGCTGTGTTCTTAGGCAAAATTGTGAGTGAGCCCACTCCCTTGGCTGAGAAGCAACCCCACACATGAATGGTCTCAGGATGTTTTACTGTTGGCATGACACAGGACTGATGGTAGCGCTCACCTTGTCTTCTCCGGACAAGCTTTTTTTCCAGATGCCCCAAACAATCGGAAAGGGGATTCATCAGAGAAAATGACTTTACCCCAGTCCTCAGCAGTCCAATCCCTGTACCTTTTGCAGAATATCAGTCTGTCCCTGATGTTTTTCCTGGAGAGAAGTGGCTTCCTCGCTGCCCTTCTTGACACCAGGCCATCCTCCAAAAGTCTTTGCCACACTGTGCATGCAGATGCACTCACCCCTGCCTGCTGCCATTCCTGAGCAAGCTCTGCACTGGTGGTGCCCTGATCCCGCAGCTGAATCAACTTTAGGAGATGGTCCTGGCGCTTGCTGGACTTTCTTGGGCGCCCTGAAGCCTTTTTCACAACAATTGAACCTCTCTCCTTTAAGTTCTTGATGATCCGATAAATGGTTGATTTAGGTGCAATCTTACTAGCAGCAATATCCTTGCCTGTGAAGCCCTTTTTGTGCAAAGCAATGATGACGGCACGTGTTTCCTTGCAGGTAACCATGGTTAACAGAGGAAGAACAATGATTTCAAGCACCACCCTCCTTTTAAAAGCTTCCAGTCTGTTATTCTAACTCAATCAGCATGGCAGAGTGATCTCCAGCCTTGTCCTCGTCAACACTCTCACCTGTGTTAACGAGAGAATCACTGACATGATGTCAGCTGGTCCTTTTGTGGCAGGGCTGAAATGCAGTGGAAATGTTTTTTGGGGATTAAGTTCATTTTCATAGCAAAGAGAGACTTTGCAATTAATCTGATCACTCTTCATAACATTCTGGAGTATATGCAAATTGCCATCATAAAAACTGAGGCAGCAGACTTTGTGAAAATTAATATTTGTGTAATTCTCAAAACTTTTGACCATCACTGTACATGGGTACAAAACTAATGAGCTACAGTGTCTGCTCAATTGTATATAATATCTATCATGCATCAAATACAAATATTTATACATGTTAAATCAAACAAATATGTGTAAGCAAAGTAGATACTGCATGTCTTGAGCCATGCATCCTTTCTGGCATAAGCAGAGTAATGCATGGTTCACTCACTTTTAAATAACCATTCTTCTTCAGACTGTTCAGGAGTCGTTTCCACAAGGGGTTACAGCTGATGGGAGCATCAGGCTCTGACGATGGCTGTCTGCACTTGGAGCACAGGATCTCAAAGCCATGGGCCTGGGAGGGTCAGAGACAAGTATAACCAACAGAACTATAGAATTATGAATTATCCCAAGTAGTCTATGAGCATTGTCAATATATATAAGTGGGTGGGGGTGAACACACCAGTTTCATGCCCAGCTCTTGGGCACGGTACAGGGGGTGGGAGCGGGCAGGCAGGGTGAACCCACTCCTCCGGTCGGGGGTGAAATGCTGCTGCTGGATCTGGGCGTACAGGCAACGGGTGAACGTCACCTGGAAATACATATAGACAACATGTAAATACAGCACTAACATACCGAAACAAAACTACATAACACACAATACATACATGCGTCAACCAGTCAGAAAGTCAACTTGTGTGTACTGAGGTTAGGACTCGTGTGTCGGGGGGGAAAGGTCTGGAATGTCCGACAGGCCTGGAGATCTACTGGATCCCTCAGGTAGAAAGAAGACACTGCCGGGGCAACCAGGTCTGGTCGCTGTGCCAACACTGTAGCGATGCCCGCGGGTAGGAAGCAGTGAGCATGATGAAGGTTTGCCTGGATCTTCTCTGGATATCTGTGAAGACACAGAACACCAACTCATGGTCATTATGACAGTAGGCTTGAATGTGTGGCTTGACCTAAACAAGTCTATATACCCTTAAGTACTGTATGTATTTCTGAGCAATCATAAGTAGGGCCAGTCTTTTCTTTTTTTTTTTTACCAGTATTTCCATCATTATCCACTAGGTTTGCTACAGGTAGAAAATCCTAGGAAATGTTATTTAATTGACACAAGATGTTTCCAATCAATCCCTCAATGTCTACCCTCAAACAGATACCTTACAATCCCTTCAACACTTCATAGTATTGTTTCTGCTGCGTCACTCACCCCTCCAGTCTTTTCTCCAGAGCAGTGCGGTTCTTGGGGCTGGCCAGACAGGCATGTGTGTGGGAGGAGAGCAGGGCCAGAGCCTGGGTCACACTGGGCACTGCGTCCCTGGGCAGGCCATCTCCACTACAGCGGGAGGGACAGGGCAGGATGTACAGCTCACCCCTGTGGAGGAACACCTAGCAGACCAGAACCAGGGGGAGAGAGACACACAGTTCGAGTGAGAGAGACAGATGGGCTGACTGATATAGGCCCACAGAGACAACAAACGAAGGGATAATCAGCTATGTGAAGAGATGTACAGACAGAGTGATAAAGTGTGTAGTCATCACACATAGCCCAATAATGGACTAAAGGAGCCTAACGTTACTCCTTATAGTCCAAGGACCTTACATGTTCTGTTTAGAGGCGAATTGGCTCTGGCAGCCAAATACTCTATCTAAACGCGAATCGATTGACAATTGCGGTACAGTTCTAGAAACATTGTCAAGTTGTGTATGGTTCACACTGCAGCTCTTTGCCCAAACTTGAAAAAGGCCTTATTAAGGACAACTCAATTTTCTTCTGACTTCTTTTATTTAATTCCAGTTCTTCCGTCAGTCAGTCAGTCAGGTTGATAACCTTTAAAGGCAAAACACAAAAAGAAATATACATTACTTCAAGTAAGGTCATTTCAAATTAAATATATAATCTCAATGTAGTCATATTATCTAAATTATACTATTTATACTAAATTAGACAATTGGTCTCAATTCTCAACACAAATAAACACCTAACTGGCAACAATTTTACACAACAATGTCCATGTGCCTACCGGTTGAGTCTCCAGAATCCTAAATGAGCTGAATGTGTATGAATGAGAGTCTCCTCTTTCATGAAGGAATTCCAGTGAAATGCTTTTCCACCAAACATTTCACCACCTGCTATCACAAAGGTGCACCAGTATATATTTTCCCAGGGAAACACAAGCTAATGATGGGTTCCACAATGCATACACTTTTTCGCCCCCTGCTGGTGTTTTATCTTTGAAATAAGTTGAAAATGTGAATGCCTTGAATATGAATACCTGTCTTTTGACGTAACAAACATAAAGCCATCTACCATCATATCACATCAAAATAATTTCACAAATGCAAAATACACACTGTCGTACACTGTTTTAACACAGTTGCAGCCGACAGTATTTTTCAGTGACAACACATTTATGGCGTCCGTCTTCCATTTACACACAGGTGTTCAGATAGCTAATTAGCACAGGTAGTCGACTGTCTTCCATCTGTTTTACGTCAACAACTGCAGTAACATGGAAATATGGCCATGTGGGAACCCTAACCCTATAAAAGGTGTAGAAATGTAACCTTTTGTTTTTTGAAAATTATCGCTGATATGAAATGTTCCTTATGTTTCCAAAACCGTACTGCATGCCTGTTAACTTTTAGCACAAGCGTCGGGGCTCTTAACAAAACTCCCCCGGACAGAAGATACTATCATCAATAGGCGTTAAATGGGCTACATCACACGTAGTTGTCTAACTCTGTTTTCACTGCTCTCTGGGTTCAACCACTTTGGAAGATAGTCTGCTGCTTCGATCAGAAGGAACTCCCCAGTTGAAACTAACTGGAAGTAATACAGAACTTTGCAGACAGTGTGCTCCACTCTACCTGGCAGCAAGTTCTGGGAAGGCTTGTGTGATCTGAAACAGGAGGTATACGATGAACCACTCATCCTCCACGCTGTCCCCAAACACAGCACTGCCTCCAATGTGTGCAGGAACTCCCCCTGCAGGTACAATCAAGACATGATCACCATTCATTCAGTCAAAGCATCAAAATTATTCATATAACAAATACTTCAATCCTCAAAGAACATTTGTATCCAGGTCAGAACCAGCACTATACCTTTCTCAGTGTGGTACTTGAGGTTGAATGGCTGCTGTTGCCAGATATACTGCATAAGGAGAGGGGCAACCTTTGCCAAAATCTCCTCCACTAGCTGTTGCAGATGTAGTTCGTCAGCCTGTGTGTCTGAGAGGTTAGGCTGAACCAAGAAGAGACAGTACTGGACCATATCCTCTTGCACAGCTATTCTCCTAAGTGGGTCCATAGTGGGGGTGGCTTGATGAACCTATGATATGAGCAATAAGAGAAGTTATGTACCTTTGCTTTGTTATCAGCAGAGACTGTTGTAGGTCAGGTCATACGACATCTGTACAATGACATTTGAACCATAACTGAATTATAGGGTACAAGCTTAGCTTCCAAACTGTTCAGACAGGCAACTTGTCTTTTATCGATAAGCTTATTGTTTAACTATATGTAACTGCCATTGATCACAAGATATCATGATCTCTAAGTCTTCAATGTAAGGCCTACTCTTTAAAACTGAACATTACATGACATTTGCAAACGAAGTCATGTCAATAAAATTAAGCTAGCATTCTAGTCAGTGTCTTTACCAGCTAATCGCATGATCAATGAACATTAACTTAGTCACAGTTCTGAGAGAGGTCTTACCTTGCCTTGTTTATTATGTATATGTTTTAACGTTAGTCTTCAAGGAGTCCCATAAACATAAAATTAGTTGTCAAGTTCTATCGTTCTTATGCCGTTTGAAGCATAGTTTTCTTCCCTACCATTAATAGATCTCGGCTATAAAACTACAGTTTTTGCAAATGGTTCCTATATGACACGCATTTATCCCAGAAATAATAATATACCTCGATGAAAATTAGCTTCAAAATTACGATTCACCAAAAATATCATGAATCAATAGACAAGTTGTAAAATGTACAACACATTTGGAATTACATGTTTTATTCTATGCGTAGCCAAAGTTCCACGGTGAGAGACGGACATAATTTTGTAGGGCAATAGGAACATCGCACAGATCCCAGGGAGTTGTAGTCTTTTATATTTTTAGCAAACGGTCATTTTCGAGGAGATCGAAATACATTTCCCGTGAGATATAGGGATAAGAAAGTTGGGTATCCATGACAGCCTTGTTATTGTTGTTGTCGTGCTAATCCTCTCTAGTGGTGCTGGATGCTGTAATGGTTATATTGATTATTATACTGGCGCTGCCTGAAACATAATCTGCTTTACTTTTAGGCCGCGGTTTGTTTCAGTAGATTTCATTGTAGATCAATAATAGGCTACTTTGTGCACAAAGGCGCGGGTTGGTTCTCCCTCTCAGTTAGCTAACAGTAGCTTGCTAGCTAATGTTTGTTAACGTTAGCAAGTTCGCAGCAATTAACGTTACGTTAAGTTCCACATTAAAGACAACTAAACTAGCTAGCTAACTTGCTAGTGTGTCAAGTGTTATTGACCCACGGGCGGGAGAAAATGACAAACCTCTGCCAAAAGAGCAAGTGGGGCAAGGAATCACAGGGAAGCGCGGTGAGAGAGGACAGTCGGGGACGCATGAGCCGATAAAAACGGAGAAAAGGATGATTTCGCGATACACCAGGCGGCCCGTAACGCACAATCTTGAGATGTAAGTAACGTTAATGCTTGCTAGCTAGTGTACAAGCGTATTATTCTTTGCTAACAGTAATTTATGTCATTCGAGATTGAGATATGGTAACCTGATTGACTAACGTTAGATTGTTGGTAGCTACTGATCGGGTAAGAACGTAAAGGAGAATGTATTGATCAGGTCACATGTGACGACAGCCCATCTGTCACTCCAAGTCAAGGTCAGTTGCCTCCATTACACAAAGCGATGCAATAGGAGGATGTTGTTCAATACTGTAAACTGATGATGTAAGGGTCCCACTCCTACCTCATATTTCAAATCAAATCAAACTTTATTTGTCTCCTTTGCCGGATACAACATACCGTGAAATGCTTACTTACAAGCCCTTAACCAACAATGCAGTTCAAGAAAGAGTTATGAAAATATTAACCAAATAAACTAAAGTAAAAAAATAATAAAAAGTAACACAGTAAACACAATAAAATAACACTCCTTGTTTGTTTGGGATCAATGTCTTTTCACAACAATAAATATCAACCCACCAAAGTATTACAATGAAAGATCTATCTATCAATGCTATTGCTTATTTATGTTTTATTAAGCTATATTTTCCCTTCTCTGCAGTCGTGGCTTATCCCGAAGCAGCCTTGACCATCACCCTCTCCCAGAGGAGGTAGACGATGACTTCCTCCCCCAGCACCTCCTCCATGACCTTCAGGAAGCTGTCTCCACTTACAACAGGTATGACCTGTTCTCAAAGAACCGGACAGGTGAAACCAAGTACACTTGTAGGGAGCAGCTATATTGCTTTCCCATATCCTGTTTAGATGTGTGAAGGCAAGGAGACAAAATAGAGGGAGGTAGCCAGTTACATAATCTGAACAGCACAGTAATATACCTCACTGGTCTAAATTATTCCCTGGTACACTCAACAACACACACCACTGTAACGTACAGCAACATGTAAACAATGTCTGTCCTCTTCTGCAGCTCGGAGACGACGTCTGCAGCCGCGAGCCGATCAGACTGTCCAGCGGTCACCACTGGAGACACAACGCGGTCCTGGTCTGGGATCCACAGCTACACAGGGACAGGTATCTCTACAGAGAGGAGCTCTGTCTTCTCCTGGGGCTATGATGTGAGTCTCACCTCGCCTTCTCAGCTGGCTGCCAGAATCATTCAGTTCAAATGCCCGATGTTCTGAGTATTTTGAAGTGCATATATAGCTAGGCCTAGCCATGCTGAATGCTACAATAGTCTTGTATACAGATTACCATTACATTAGCCTAATCATGTTTGTATTGTAATGACTTAGTAATGAGTACAGTCTGCTCTGTCTGCAGAGGTCAGTTCCCTCATGGTTTCGCTTCGTTGTGATGCTGAGATTTTTAGAGCTTGCCTTCAAAAACAAAAAAACTATGATTTATTTACGCACAGCCATGTCCTCAGAATGCCTCATAGAACTCATACCCCTGCAGTCCTTAGTTACTAACTTAATATAGTACAGTACACACACACACTTGCCTGTGCACGCACACACTGTCTCTCACAAATACATGCAAATGGTACTACTTGCTCCAGCACAATCACTCACACACAGTCACCTGGGAGCCATAGGGGAGCCATGTAGCCTGCTGTGAAATGAACAGCGCTCAGCGACGTGCAGCTAATAATTGATAAGTAGCTTGAAAAGCAACGACCTTCTGTCATAGTGTGCCTCTCTGTAGGAGCTCCTCTCACTCTCTCTCTCTTTCTACCTTCCCTCTCTCCATCCCTCAGGAGTTTGACAAGGCGGCGTCACGACAGGTGCAGCAAATGTTTGAGGAGATTGACGAGGAGCTTTACGAAGGGCAGGGTGGGGCGCATCTACTGGGGCTGCAAGATGAGTGTCATCAGTGGGCGTTCAGGTTCCCTCACCTACGGTGGGTCCTCACCCTACTCCCCCTCACTTCTCACACACTGTCACACATTTCTGCCACTCTAGCCTTGCTCCTTCCACTCCTCACCTGCAAATGTATCACTGAAGGTAATTTGGCTGCAGTAAAGTGATACCTCTTAAAAGAGAAGTACCTAAGATAAATCTGATTTAGATTTGTTTGCAAACCCAAGAAGAAACGACTTACCACATAATGATCGGCCCAAAACCCTTGGGCCCCATACACAATGAGAGAATGGATCATAGGCCATTGGCTCAGCATTACAAAATTCAATTGTTAATAAAACATTTTTTTTAAATAATCCTGTCGGTTGGATTCATTGGAGTTGTAATCACTGTTTCACCACCTCTCCACCCTACTATGTGAACCCACAGGATTCTGGGTAGTCAGCTGGTGTGTCCCAGTGACGAGGGCTTCCAGTGGTACGCCACCTCAGGGAAGGGGACTGGGACACCCGCCAGCACCACTGCAGCTGGACAGAAGGACAGCAGCAGTAGCAAGCCACAGGATAAGGACAAGCCCAGCCCCAGCACAGAGTGAGCACTGGATACTCATGCTGTTAACCCATCAATTATAGATGACCGTTAGCGTTGTGGTTTTGTGACCTACATACTGTGTGGCTTGTCAAACAGCAAGTCAACTAAGTAACACAAGGCATACTGGCACTGGCTAGGCTACTTTAGCTAGCTAGAAAGTTAGGACTGATGTTGTTGAGAAACCGATGTCAGGGTGAACCATATTGTTTGTTTGTCCAGTCTGTGTGTGCAGGGGAGAAGGGCTGTGCTGTCCAGGCCCTGTGCGGCAGTTGACCACCCCCCTGGTACTCCCAGTGGATCCAGAGGTCATGACAGGCCCAGGGTGATCGAGGCTGAAGGCCTGATGGAGGAGTACCTGGCCTTTGACAGCAGGGACCTGTGAGTCACCACCCAGCTCTCCTATTTAGGACCGTTTAACTATAGGGCCATTTCAAATACTTGAAAGTATGGTGCACTTGATTGAGCTTGTAGCCTACCTTTGGGATTACCCCAAGGGTTCCATTGTACCAACTAACCTAAAACCAAGCTTAGTATTTGAAAGGCGTTGACATTATTTCGCCAAAGGTCTGTTGTGTTGATGGTTTAATGTGTGGTTTGAACTTTACAGGGATGATGAGTGGGAGCGGGGGTGCATGGGGGCTGGTCGGCGGCGGAACTGCCTGCCTCCGGTGTCTCCCTACCGCTGTCGCAGACAGGCGGCCTTGGACTTGCTGTTTGACGACGTGTGGCGAGAGCTGGTTGGCTGGATGGAGGAGCTGGTCCGCAGGCATTGGGAGGGCTATGTCTCAGGTAGGACCACAGGGCAATGTCTTATAGGCACTTTTGACTTGTCATTGACTTATAAGCCAACAAATCCATCATTGCCAAATTGACAGTATTCTTCCCCATCTTGTTGACAGATGATGAGAAGACTGCAGTGAACTTCAGCTCATCACAGTCAGATGCTGAGAATCCTTTCCTGCTTCTGTCCAGACTTCCCACCCTTCTCCCCAGGCTAGGCCAGAGCAAGGTGCCCCAGCTAACAGGCAGCCTGCAACCCCAGGTCAGTGCCCTGAGAGGGGGGTGAAGGACCACCTCCTCAGAGAGTGGAAAATCCTACTCCTAGGATGTAGGTTTTATGTCAATAAGAAATGTTACTAAGCACTGTGATTGGACTCCATAATAACCTTCAGATGTGTTTGAGAGTTTAGGACAAATTTGGCAAACTGAAAACAGTCACACTGATGCTGAATTGTTTTCCCCTGCTGTCAGTAGTTCTTCTCACTCTGTTTTCAAGGCTATCAATTCATTAACTTGAATCCTTTTTTCTTTCCTTCCTTCTTTTTGTCCCCTACTCTGTCTTGTTCCTTGGTCTGTTTCACACCTTTCAAACCAACAACCTTGTGTCTGTCCACCTCACTCTCTCCTTTTCTCTCTCTCATTTGGTCATCTGTTTCTCCCCCAAAGACCACAAAATCAAGGGTCTCAAAGCACAAGTCCAGACGGAAATCCAAAAAGCAGAAAAAGCCATCCACTGTATGTAACTCTCACCTAGAGCCAAAATGGCACTGATCGACACCATCCACAGTGGCATGTTATTATTCACTCCTAGACTGAATGTGCTTGTGCCTGTTGAATAACACAAAACATACCACATTTAGTCACTTTCTTACTTCTTAACCAACTGTTGAGGTTTTTCTTACATACGTTTCTCTTATTTAATTCAATAATGACTGTTTTGGAATGCTTTTATTTACTTCCCGCTTTAATTGACTATTTTGTCTAATCGTCTGATGGTCTCAAGTGGGTGGTGGTATGTCCTCTCCACTTGGTTGCATGTAGAAAAGCCGAGTTGGAGCTGACTATGGTGACGTGCAAGTGTCCGTAGTGATGATGTGGCTGTAGTTATTTAGGTGAATGACCACTTTTGCCTAGTCTAACTGTATCTTCTTCTGCCTCCCTCCCTCCCTCCTACAGTCCAGTCGGGTACCAGTAGGGGCAGCGGTGACGCATCACAACCTCAACGACCTCATTGTGATCCACGGCATCCCCCTGCAGCAGAGGAACATGGGCGTGATGGAGAGAGCCCAGTATGGAGACTGATCATACTCATGCTGATACTATAAGAATCTTTATTAGTAGAGTGTAGCATAAGGAGCTAACTGTAACAGTGAACCACTCATTAAATAAGAGAGCAAGAGATGGTTATTAGCTATGGGTATGTAGGTTTATGCATATGTTACTTTGAGTAAAGGTTCACTATTTACTTCTCCTTCTCAGGGACCCTGAGGAGAGGGTGGTGGTGACCCATCGGCCAGGGTCCAGTGTGATCCCGTCCAGCAAGCCCCGTCCTCGCCGGGCGCTAGAGCAGAGCTCCTCCTCCCTGTCCCGTCCGCCCCAGTCAGCGCTACGCCGTAACCCGCCCCAACGCACCCTCCTGCCCTTGGTTCCCTGCCTGACACAGTCCAGCGCTGCCGGCTCCATGGAGGAGGTAATCCGTGGGACGCGCCTGTGAGTTAACTTAAAGGGGGTTACCCATTCTCCATCTGGTCCCTGTCCTCTTCCATGTAGACCCCCTCCCTCCCCTCTTCTTTTATTGCTCTGAAGCTGGAGAACCGTCTGTGCAAAGATTACTTTGAAAGCTGTTTGCCGTTGAACTCTTGCCTTGTGGCGTTCTGTTCAGCAGAATGGAAGGGGAAGAGATGTGAGGAGTTGTGTGTGACTAAGTACCCTAACAGATGAACTTTTAATCAACCTTGAGTTAAAGAATATCTGCTCCCGAGTGAAGAATATCGGGCTCCCAAGTGGTACAGCGGTCTAAGGCACTGCATCTCAGTGCTTGAGGCGTCACTACAGACCCCCTGGTTCGATTCCAGGCTGTATCACAACCGGCCGTGTTTGGGAGTCCCATAGGGCGGCGCACAATTGGCCCAGCGTCGTCCGGGTTTGGCCAGTGTAGGCCGTCATTGTAAATAAGAATTTGTTCTTAACTGACTTGCCTAGTTAAATAAAGGAAAAAAAAGTGTAATTTGCCTTCGTGTGGAGTGATTTCAGTCTGCTCCATGTTAAAGGGGCTTGTGTAACTTTATAGAAAGTGTGGAAAGTGAACAGGGCTGTTACTCTCTCCAGACCCACAGCCAGTGACTGCCTGGCCTCGCCTCTGATGCCTCTGAGCAGGAACACACTCCTTCCCCCCATCGGCACAGGAGAAGCTGAGCCCACGCACTCTGGACAGCACTTCAGACCTACTCAGGTACTGGACGAGTAGAACTCTGCATACTAGTTGTACATCTTGCACTGACTTGACAAAACTTAATACTATCACCTGCTAATAACACAACACTATTTTATTTTGTGTGTGTGTGTGTGTGTGTAGCGGCACAGAGGTTCGTCCAGTCGTGCCCACAGTGCTGTTACAGATGAAGCTGGTAGTTTGCTTCCTCGGGATCGGCTTCATCAATTGGACGTATTCTCCCGTCCCAACACCACCCACACCTACAGGGTATGGCTATAGTCACACACGCTAAAAGTTATTATACCACTACAGAACGATTTAGCCATATTTTGTAGGTTTACAGTCGTGGTCAAACGTTTTGAGAATGATACAAGTATTGGTCTTCACAAAGTTTGCTGCTTCAGTGTTTTTAGATATTTTTGTCAGATGGTACTATGGTATACTGAAGTATAATTACAAGCATTAATTACATTAAGTTTATGCAAAGAGTCAATATTTGCAGTGTTGACCCTTCTTTTTCAAGACCTCTGCAATCCGCCCTGGCATGCTGTCAATTAACTTCTGGGCCACATCCTGACAGATGGCAGCCCATTCTTGCATAATCAATGCTTGGAGTTTGTCAGAATTTGTGGGTTTTTGTTTGTCCACCTGCCTCTTGAGGATTGACCACAAGTTCTCAATTGGATTACCTCCCGAGTGGCGGAGTGGTCTACCCGCCTCTTGAGCTGTCCTGGTTCGAATCCAGGCTCTGTCATAGCCGGCCGCGACCGGGAGACCCATGGGGCGGCGCACAATTGACCCAGCGTTGTCCAGGGTAGGGAATGGCCGGCAGGGATGTAGCTCAGTTGGTAAAGCATGGCGTTTGCAACGCCACGGTTGTGGGTGCGATTCCCACGGGGGGCCAGTATGATTTTTTTTATTTTTTATAATGTAGGCACTCACTAATTTTAAGTCGCTCTGGATAAGAGCGTCTGCTAAATGACTAAAATGTAAATGTGAAAAAATTAAGGTCTGGGGAGTTTCCTGGCCATGGACCCAAAATGTCGATGTTTTGTTCCCCGAGCCACTTAGTTATCACTGTTGCCTTATGGCAAGGTGCTCCATCATGCTGGAAAAGGCATTGTTTGTCACCAAACTGTTCTTGGATGGTTGGGAGAAGTTGCTCTCAGAGGATGTGTGGGTACCATTCTTTATTCATGACTGTGTTCTTAGGCAAAATTGTGAGTGAGCCCACTCCCTTGGCTGAGAAGCAACCCCACACATGAATGGTCTCAGGATGCTTTACTGTTGGCATGACACAGGACTAATGGTAGCGCTCACCTTATCTTCTCCGGACAAGCTTTTTTCCGGATGCGCCAAACAATCGGAAAGGGGATTCATGAGAGAAAATGACTTTACCCCAGTCCTCAGCAGTCCAATCCCTGTACCTTTTGCAGAATATCAGTCTGTCCCTGGTGTTTTTCCTGGAGAGAAGTGGCTTCCTCGCTGACATTCTTGACACCAGGCCATCCTCCAAAAGTCTTCGCCTCAAGCTCTGCACTGGTGGTGCCCCGATCCCGCAGCTGAATCAACTTTAGGAGATGGTCCTGGCGCTTGCTGGACCTTCTTCACAACAATTTAACCTCTCTCCTTGAAGTTCTTGATGATCCGATAAATGGTTGATTTAGGTGCAATCTTATTAGCAGCAAAATCCTTGCCTGTGAAGCCCTTTTTGTGCGAAGCAATGATGACGGCACGTGTTTCCTTGCAGGTAACCATGGTTAACAGAGAAAGAACAATGATTTCAAGCACCACCCTCTTTTTAAAGCTTCCAGTGTGTTATTCTAACTCAATCAGCATGACAGAGTGATCTCCAGCCTTGTCCTCGTCAACACTCTCACCTGTGTTAACGAGAGAATCACTGACATGATGTCAGCTGGTCCTTTTGTGGCAGGGCTGAAATGCAGTGGAAATGTTTTTGGGGGATTAAGTTCATTTTCATGGCAAAGAGGGACTTTGCAATTCATCTGATCACTATTCATAACATTCTGGAGTATATGCAAATTGCCATCATAAAAACTTTTGACCACGACTTTATATTGTAATGGATGAATGTGGAATATGTTTGCTTGCATCCCAGTCAGTGAGATTTAACTCTGGATTATTTTGCAGTCGGACACCCCTTACCGCCGCTCCTTCACAGTGCTGGACAACATTGGACAGGGACGTCCTGGCAGGGAATCTGTGGGTACAGGTGGGCACCTCGTTTTACATTGAATACTGTACACAATTTCTACACATACATTTTGTGGCTGAGTATCTGTCTGGTACCCTAGCAGACTCTTTGGGCATTGGAGTGATGGGCATCAGTCTGGGCATCAGCAGCTCCTCCTTCCTGGACTCCTTCATCCACCACCCCTTGGGCCACTCCCCCATCAAGGATGAGGAGGAGCCTGACACACAAGGCCCTCCCCCAGGTCAGTAGGAGCCTCCTGTGGTGGTCCTCATTTATAAAACACGTAGCTGGGTTGTGATCTGTAGTTATGTTTATGAGAGAGTTCAGTCGTAGCCTCCAGTTATCTAACAAGGAAAGTCATTATCTTCAGTCAGATGATTTGAATATTAACTATCAAGATGATTTGAATATTAACTATTAATGCTCATTAAGTCTTGTCTTTTTCCTGCTCTCGTCAGCTCTACTGGTGCCTGTGTCAGTCCCAGCACGCTCCTACAACCGGGGGGGCTTCACGTCCCGCAGTAGCAGACCTGGGTTGTAGCTCCTTCGACCGGTCGTCACTAGTTAACACAGCCACAAAGTCATAATTACGTTTAAACCCCGCCCATTTCTACAATTGATCTTCTTAAAATCTGATTTTAAACCTAACCTTAACCACACTGCTAACCTTATGCCTAACTTTAAAATAAGACCAAAAAGCAATATTTTTTTAAACCAATTTTGACTTTGGCTGTGTTATCTACCTCGGCCCCCTCCACCAACCACACGCCTCAGCACGGCAGGATGAAATGCCCTGCTGCCAGTCCCAATGGGGCCCTCAAACGACACTTTATACAGCAGCAGAAATGTTGTACATTGTACTGTTTGGTGATTTTATTTGATGCTTTTTTTGTTTTTCTAGAGCCCTATTTTTGTATGTTGGTACTCAGCTTACCTGGCTGCCAAAGACAACCTGTGTCATTAATACCTATCTGTATGTTGGTATGTACTGTACATTTGGATGAATATGTCAATGTAATTGTTTATGTTCCCTGATCGCTATACTCTTAAATGATTCTATGAGGGAATTAGTTGTTCTATGAAAATGGTGGCTTTTTGACCAGCCAATTTTTTTACAAATGTTTTTACAAATTAGTCAGATAATAGTTAACGCAGTAACAATGTTAATCAAAAATAAATGACAGCTTATTTTTATGTTTTTACTACATTACTATTTTTTTTATGCTTGTGTTGCCTTTGTCACTGGTGTTACCTATATTTTAATGACAATTCAGGCTTTCCAGAATGTAATTTGAGTATTTACTTCGCATATATAATCAAAGACAGAAAAGGTTAATGATAATTAAAACAAAACACATTCTATAATAACACCAGTGACGGTAACACAAGTGTCAAATCTTCAGACTGTTCTAGTAACACCAGTGAAAAATCTGCAGAAAACATAGAATATCTAAGATAGCGGCCACAGTAGCTGAAACCACACTTCTTAAATTGTAAATAAATGACAATCGTGATTCAAATTTCCTTTTCCCCATACTATAAACTGTGTAACACCAGTGACCGATCTTAAAGCGCCACATGAAATTACCAAAATTAATTCATATTGCTAACATACTGTATGAAGAGAGACTGCAGACTCACCATGTGCTTTTCAAAACAGCTCCAATTTGACCCAGGAAGAAGTTGGCAAGGATGTTGCTTTTTAAAATGTTATATAATGGGGTAACACCAGTGACATGAAATTGAGGGACAGCTATTCCCTGTAAATTATTTATAATAATTAGTTGATATTAGTTTAAATAATCCACTAAATAGCTATACTTTCCTTTGTATTATGACATTTAGTGGGAGAAAAATACATTTTCTACGATATATATATTTACAGCTCTAGACAAAATTAAGAGACCACTGCAAATGTTTCTTAAATCAGCATCTCTACATGTATGACTTCCATTCCAGTGTCTGTACATTCCAACACAGGCACACCTCATTCTACTGAATTAGGTACTGATTAGGTGATCACATGAACCAAATCTTATTTAAAATCAAATCAAATTTTATTGGTCACATGCGCCAAATACAACAGGTGCAGACATTATAGTGAAATGCTTACTTACAGCCCTTAACCAACAGTGCATTTATTTAACGAGGAAAATTATAAAATCCACTGCTGTGGTCATCACTATCCTCTTGCAATAGCACCAGCTGGATGGCAAAAACAGTGCTAATAGTACCTCAAAAGTAATTTTTCATCAAAAAATAACTATTGACCATGCCAAAATAGTTGAAAAGGAAAGTTGAGTGAGGAAAATAAGGGTTCAATTCTGGCTTTACTGGCAGAGGGATACAGTGAGCGTCAGGTTGTTTCCATCCTTCAAATTTCAAAAAACGGTGGTTCATAAGAACAAGGTCAAGCAGCAGACCGGCAGAGGGCGAAAACGACTCTACTGACCGGGATGACCGCCAACTCATTCAAATGTCACTCAACAACTGTAGGATGACATCAAGTGACCTACAAAAAGAATGGCAAACGGCAGCTGAGGTGAAGTGCACAGCGAAGACGGTTCGAAACAGGCTCCTAGGGGCAGGGCTGAAGTTGTGCAAAGCTAGAAAAAAGCCCTTCATCAATGAGAAGCAAAGAAGAGCCAGGCTGAGGTTTGCAAAAGACCATTAGGATTGGGCCGTAGAGGACTGGAGTAAGGTCATCTTCTCTGATTAGTCCAATTTTCAGCTTTGCCCAACACCTGGTCGTCTAATGGTTAGACAGAGACCTGGAGAGGCCTACAAGCCACAGTGTCTCGCACCCACTGTGAAATTTGGTGGAGGATCGGTGATGATCTGGGGGTGCTTCAGCAATGCTGGAATTGGGCAGATTTGTCTTTGGGAAGGACGCATGAATCAAGCCACGTACAAGGTTGTCCTGGAAGAAAACTTGCTTCCTTTTGCTCTGACATTGTTCCCCAACTCTGAGGATTGGTATTTCCAGCAGGACAATGCGCCATGCCACACAGCCAGGTCAATCAAGGTGTGGATGGAGGACCACCAGATCAAGACCCTGTCATGGCCAGCCCAATCTCCAGACCTGAACCCCATTGAAAACTTCTGGAATGTGATCAAGAGGAAGATGGATGGTCACAAGCCATCAAACAAAGCCGAGCTGCTTGAATTTTTGCGCCAGGAGTGGCATAAAGTCACCTAACATCAATGTGAAAGACTGGTGGAGAGCATGCCAAGACGCATGAAAGCTGTGATTGAAAATCAGGGTTATTCCACTCTGAACTCTGAATACTCTCATTAGTATTGTGTTGTTTAAAAATGAACATTAACTTATTTTCTTTGCATTATTCGAGGTCTGACAACACTGAATCTTTTTTGTTATTTTGATCAGTTGTCATTTTCTGCAAATAAATGCTCTAAATGACAATATTTTTATTTGGAATTTGGGAGAAATGTTGTTAACAAAAATGTTAATTTCACCCAAACACATACCTATAAATAGTAAAACCAGAGAAACTTATATTTTTGCAGTGGTCTCTTAATTTTTTCCAGAGCTGTATATATATGAAAAATAGTTTGCAATATAACTGTCTTACATATGTTTTATTAACAATAAAACACTTAAATTAAAACAAAAACATTGTGTCATTATCTTACATCTTTAAGTGTTTTTCATGGTGGTTAAGGCATGGGACAGGAAAGACACCATTTTCGTAGAATGACCCAAATGGCAAGTCCAACTAAACAGGGAGAAACAAAAGCATTTTGCACACTGACATGCTTCGTCAGGCTGCTTTGTACTTTTCTAAGAACATTACTTTTATTTTCCCATGTAAAAAAGACAAGCACAAAACCTCGGGGTTTCACATAGCATACCTTAACAGGGAGAGACAAGACAAGCCTTAGACGCTAACTAAATGGGTAGGTATTTGGTGTTTTCCTCACAAGCGTTTATGTGATGAGGGCTTAGTGTAAGCCACAGGAGACATGCGAGGGAATAAGAGATTCACCTCACTGCAGTAGAAGCCATATGCTACTTTCAGCAGAGGTGCTAGCAGAGCCTAGATCAGTAAAGGCAATTTGTATAGAAATACGTGCTAGATGTGTGACTGAGGGGCATGCAGGTGTCAAGTTTTGATCAAAGGTTTTTGGCAGGGCAACTTAGAAGTTTTCTGCGAAATATAATAGGATTTTTACAAGCACATTTATGTTTCTAGTTCTTTGTGTGCTTACCACAAGTTACAGTGGTGCTTCCTTGCATTTCCTAACTATGACTGAGATGGAAGGGCCTTCTGTACAGAACTGCAGGTCTCCTTTTATTTCTATGGCTTCAGCTCATGTACATTATAGAACAGAGTCAGGAGAATGAACTAACATGGAGGTCTTCTTTGACTTCTTATAGAGTTAGGCTGCACTGGAAGGTCACCCTGGTAGATGGCATTAATAAAGCTTGAAATGCAGCATAGTTCTGTATGGATTCCTTTGGAAGATAATCCCTCTATTTTATATTAAATAATAAAAGGTGTACAAATGCGATTCAAATAAATACAGATGTAATGTTTTTTCAGGCCTCTTCGATTATAGAACACATACAATAAAGAAATGCTGCCTTTGACAAGACACAGACAAGTCACCAACTAATGTAAGATTTGGTGTGGATGTATATGGAATACACAAGTTGCTGTCCACATACATCTACAAAATACTTCTTAATAAGATGAAAGTGATATATACCGTGTCCTCTATACTAAAGGGTTTGAAGTCTTCACTTTTTTCCTTTCCCTCCTGCTTTGGCTTTTCCTCCCTTCTTGGAGTATTTGGCTTCCAGGTCAGAGAGGAAAGAGTTAAAATTCTGCTCTCTGGACTTCTGCTTTTGCTGTTAACAAGACAAAAATAAACACCATTAATGCCTTACCTGAAACCCTAAAACAGTCACCAGTTAATATCTCGGTTGTGTGATTCACCTTACCTTCAACATCATTACAAGACTGTCATCAGAGTCATCGAGTCCCATCTCTCTCTGCATCTCCTCAGCTTCTTGTCTTTCTTCATCAGCCTTTTAGGAAATAACAACAAAGTATTATCCCACAAATGTGAACCAAAACAATTACCAACATAGAGGAAGAGTATGTGTATACAAGCATTTGTATAAAGCACACTGTACCTTCTGTTTGCGTGCTTTCTTCTTCCTGGTGCTTTCCTGAGTGAATGCAGGGTAGGCGGTGAGCTCCCCTGCCTGGATGGCAGACTGTATAAGGGCTGTGATCCTGGGCTCGTCCTCCTGAGTGCAGCACAGGGCCGAGGCCATGATGGCGTCCATGTCCCCCTGGTGCTGCAGGTAAAGCTGCATCACATCCTGCCTCTCCTCCTCCGTGCCTTTGTACTTCCTCTCAAACTCCTGGATGTCCTGCAATGTGATCTAATGAAGAAGAGAGATGGTTGTTAGAACAAATTCTAATTGTGACATTATACTTGGTTTTTATTATACAGGCTGATAAAGAAAGTCAAGAAGCAGAGGGAGATGGTACTAGGTGATGCTGATGACAGTCTTGTAATGATGATTAAGGTAAATTACTCAAAATTACATACGTCCAGTGACTATTTTATGGGTAAGGTATGAAAAATAAAAGTTAAATCAGGACGGCCCAAAAAGTAAATACTGTGTATGGTAAAGATGTCAATCAGCTTTAGCTAGTTATATAGTTAGGCTACCTTAGGGAACAGCAACCTCCAGTACTCCTCCCAGCATCGGTCCTGCTGCAGTGAGTCAGATTCCTCATCCACCAGTCCCTGCTCATCATACACTGCCCTCTGCTCCTTGTCACTCAACACGGCATATAACTTACCCAGCACCTGAAAGGAAGGGGCCAGGTGAGTACAGTAAAATACAACTCTAGACAGTTAACTAGGTGAACTAGTCTAACTGCAGATTTGAGTAGGTGTTTTAGCTGACACTTTTCCACCTGAAATTTCTCTGTTGCCTGCAGGTCTTCGGGAGCACGATCTGGGTGAACCCTGAGCGACACCTTGTAGTAGCTGCGTCGGATCTCTGCGTCGGTCGCCTCTTTGGAGATGCCCAGCACCCCGTAGAGGCTGGAGCTGTTGAACAGTGCTTGACACTGGTCGAGTAGCCCCATCTCTATCTGTCAACTTTACTGGTGGCAATTGAATATCAAGGTTAAAGGGGCAATCTGCGATTGATACAATTTTTAGACTTTTAAATGAATGAGATAGATAGCAAGACTGAATAAAAATATAAACACAACATGTAAAGTTTTGGTCCCATGTTTCATGAGCTGAAATAAAAGTTTCCAGAAATGTTCCATACGCACAAAAAGCTTATTTCTCTAAAATGTTGTGCACAAATTTATTTACATCCCTGTTAGTGAGCATTTCTCCTTTGCCAAGATAATCCATCCACCTGACTGGTGTGGCATATCAAGAATCTGATTAAACAGCATGATCATTACACAGGTGCTTCTTGTGATGGGGAGAATAAAAGGCTTGGGCTTAGTGGGACAATCATTTATTTTTAACAGGACAATGACCCAACACACCTCCAGGCTGTGTAAGGGCTATTTGACCAAGAAGGAGAGTGATGGAGTGCTGCATCAGATGACCTGGCCTCCACAATCCCCCGAACTCAACCAAATTGAGATGGTTTGGGATGAGTTGGACCGCAGAGTGATGGAAAAGCAGCCATCAAGTGCTAAGCATATGTGGGAACTCCTTCAAGACTGTTGGAAAAGCATTCCAGGTGAAGCTGGTTGAGACAATGCCAAGAGTGTGCAAAGCTGTCATCAAGGCAAAGGGTGGCTACTTTGAAGAATCTCAAATATAAAATATTTTGATTTGTTTAACACTTTTTTGGTTACTACATGATTCCATATGTGTTATTTCATAGTTTTGACATCATCACTATTATTCTACAATGTAAATAATAGTAAAAATAACGAAAAACCCTTGAATGAGTAGGTGTCCAAACCTTTGACTGGTACTAATATATATATATATATATATATATATATATATATATATACACTAAAATATATGGACACCCCTTCAAATTAGTGGATTAAGCTATTTCAGCCACACCCGTTGCTGACAGGTGTATAAAATCGAGCACACAGCCATGCAATCTCCATAGACAAACATTGGTAGAATGGCCTTACTAAAGAGCTCAGCGACTTCAAACGTGGCACCATCATAGGATGCCACCTTTCCAAAAAGTCAGTTCGTCACATTTCTGTCCTGGTCAACTGTAAGTAATATATACAGTGAGGGAAAAAAGTATTTGATCCCCTGCTGATTTTGTACGTTTGCCCACTGACAAAGAAATTATCAGTCTATAATTTTAATGGTAGGTTTATTTGAACAGTGAGAGACAGAATAACAACAACAAAAATCCAGAAAAACGCATGTAAAAAATGTTATACATTTATTTGCATTTTAATGAGGGAAATAAGTATTTGACCCCCTCTCAATCAGAAAGATTTATAGCTCCCAGGTGTCTTTTATACAGGTAACGAGCTGAGATTAGGAGCACACTCTTAAAGGGAGTGCTCCTAATCTCAGCTTGTTACCTGTATAAAAGACACCTGTCCACAGAAGCAATCAATCAATCCGATTCCAAACTCTCCACCATGGCCAAGACCAAAGAGCTCTCCAAGGATGTCAGGGACAAGATTGTAGACCTACACAAGGCTGGAATGGGCTACAAGACCATCGCCAAGCAGCTTGCTGAGAAGGTGACAACAGTTGGTGCGATTATTCGCAAATGGAAGAAACACAAAATAACTGTCAATCTCCCTCGGCCTGGGGCTCCATGCAAGACCTCACCTCGTGGAGTTGCAATGATCATGAGAACGGTGAGGAATCAGCCCAGAACTACATGGGAGGATCTTGTCAATGATCTCAAGGCAGCTGGGACCATAGTCACCAAGAAAACAATTGGTAATACACTACGCCGTGAAGGACAGAAATCCTGCAGCGCCCGCAAGGTCCCCCTGCTCAAGAAAGCACATATACAGGGCCGTCTGAAGTTTGCCAATGAACATCTGAATGATTCAGAGGAGAACTGGGTGAAAGTGTTGTGGTCAGATGAGACCAAAATCGATTTCTTTGGCATCAACTCAACTCGCCGTGTTTGGAGGAGGAGGAATGCTGCCTATGGTGTTTTTCTGCTAAGGGGACAGGACAACTTCACCGCATCAAAGGGACGATGGACAGATTCTTTGACAGAAGAGAATCTGTCAAATCCGTCAAATCCTGGGTGAGAACCTCCTTCCCTCAGCCAGGGCATCGAAAATGGGTCGTGGATGGGTATTCTAGCATGACAATGACCCAAAACACACGGCCAAGGCAACAACGGAGTGGCTCAAGAAGAAGCACATTAAGGTCCTGGAGTGGCCTAGCCAGTCTCCGGACCTTAATCCCATAAAAAATCTGTGGAGGGAGCTGAAGGTTTGAGTTGCCAAACGTCAGCCTCGAAACCTTAATGACTTGGAGAAGATCTGCAAAGAGGAGTGGAACAAAATCCCCCCTGAGATGTGTGCAAACCTGGTGGCCAACTACAAGAAATGTCTGAGCTCTGTGATTGCCAACAAGGGTTCTGCCACCAAGTACTAAGTAATGTTTTGCAGAGTGGTCAAATACTTATTTTCCTCATTAAAATGCAAATCAATTAATAAAAAATTTTACATGCGTTTTTCTGGATTTTTTTGTTGTTATTCTGTCTCTCACTGTTCAAATAAACCTACCATTAAAATTATAGACTGTTCATGTGTTTGTCAGTGGGCGAACGTACAAAATCAGCAGGGGATCAAATACTTTTAAACAACACAATGTAACTCCAAGTCAATCACACTTCTGTGAAATCAAACTGTCCACTTAGGAAGCAACACTGATTGACATTACATTTCACATGCTGTTGTGCAAATGGAATAGACAACAGGTGGAAATTATAGGCAATTAGCAAGACACCCCCAATAAAGGACTTGTTTTGCAGGTGGTGACCACAGACCACTTCTCAGTTCCTATGCTTCCTGGCTGATGTTTTGGTCACTTTTGAATGCTGGCGGTGCTTTCACTCTAGTGGTAGCATGAGACGGAGTCTACAACCCACACAAGTGGCTCAGGTAGTGCAGCTCATCCAGGATGGCACATCAATGCGAGCTGTGGCAAGAAGGTTTGCTGTGTCTGTCAGCGTAGTGTCCAGAGCATGGAGGCGCTACCAGGAGACAGGCCAGTACATCAGGAGACGTGGAGGAGGCCGTAGGAGGGCAACAACCCAGCAGCAGGACTGCTACCTCCGCCATTGTGCAAGGAGGAGCTGGAGGAGCACTGCCAGAGCCCTGCAAAATGACCTCCAGCAGGCCACAAATGTGCATGTGTCTGCTCAAATGGTCAGAAACAGACTCCATGAGGGTGTATGAGGGCCCGACGTCCACAGGTGGGGGTTGTGCTTTCAGCCCAACACCGTGCAGGACGTTTGGCATTTGCCAGAGAACACCAAGATTGGCAAATTCGCCACTGGCGCCCTGTGCTCTTCACAGATGAAAGCAGGTTCACACTGAGCACGTGACAGATGTGACAGAGTCTGGAGACGCCGTGGAGAACGTTCTGCTGCCTGCAACATCCTCCAGCATGACCGGTTTGGCGGTGGGTCAGTCATGGTGTGGGGTGGCATTTCTTTGGGGGGCCGCACAGCCCTCCATGTGCTCGCCAGAGGTAGCCTGACTGCCATTAGGTACCGAGATGAGATCCTCAGACCCCTTGTGAGACCATATGCTGGTGCGGTTGGCCCTGGGTTCCTCCTAATGCAAGACAATGCTAGACCTCATGTGGCTGGAGTGTGTCAGCAGTTCCTGCAAGAGGAAGGCATTGATGCTATAGACTGGCCCGCCTGTTCCCCAGACCTGAATCCAATTGAGCACATCTGGGACATCATGTCTCGCTCCATCCACCAACGCCACGTTGCACCACAGACTGTCCAGGAGTTGGCGGATGCTTTAGTCCAGGTCTGGGAGGAGATCCCTCAGGAGACCATCCGCCACCTCATCAGGAGCATGCCCAGGCGTTGTAGGGAGGTCATACAGGCACGTGGAGGCCACACACACTACTGAGCCTCATTTTGACTTGTTTTAAGGACATTACATTTACATTTACATTTTAGTCATTTTAGCAGACGCTCTTATCCAGAGCGACTTACAGGAGCAATTAGGGTTAAGTGCCTTGCTTAAGGGCACATCGAGAGATGTTTCACCTAGTCGGCTCGGGGATTAGAACCAGCGACCTTTCGGTTACTGGCACAACGCTCTTACCCACTAAGCTTACATTAAAGTTGGATCAGCCTGTAGTGTGGTTTTCCACTTTAATTTTGAGGGTGACTCCAAATCCAGACCTCCATGGGTTGATAAATTTGATTTTCATTGATAATGTTTGTGTGATTTTGTTGTCAGCACATTCAACTATGTAAAGAAAAAATATTTAATAAGATTATTTCATTCATTCAGATCTAGGATGTGTTATTTTAGTGTTCCCTTTATTTTTTTGAGCAGTATATATATATATATATATATATATATATATATATATATATATATATAGCACTAAGAGCTGGAGAAATTTAACCACTTATATAGCCAGTGGTTCTTGAAGAATATAATGTATAAATCACTCATGAGCTTAGTTCAACTGTAATACCCCATCAGAACCCAGAATAGAAGATTGTTTTTAGGCTAACACTGTATAGCCTCAAAACATGATTAAAACTGCAATTTTATTCTCATGGATGTTCAGTCCTTGTATACTGTATGTATAGCTAGCTTTGTCCATTACTTTGAGTGTTTCGCTGACATACTTCGGTACATTTCGCCAGCCCTCGTTTACCAAAACAATGCGAGGTTACCCCTTTGTTGTTGTTGTTGTTTGAAATGCAGTGCAGAAAGCCCCTGTATATTCTTTCCGACTTTGCTCATGCATGGCACACAACTCACCTAGCTAGATTGATAGCTAACTTTATGAATAGCCAATACATTGTTAAGTAGCCATACTTGTAATTAGCAATCGTACTTAAAAAGAACCAGCTTCTTGGTTATCGGGCACCACAAAGTAATTCAAAACAAATATTGGCTGCATACGTTATTTGTAATCGCGTTTTAAAACCTCTACCTACCTTGAAATCTTATTTAACAAAACGGTGGATAGCTGGCTGAAAGCTTCACTTGCTTTGTTTACCAAATTTGGCGCGCTGTCCTGTCAACAGAGTACGTAGCGTAAACGCACCTCTCTTGGTTACGTTTTTTAGCGTGTTACGTTTGTGGTTTCCACTAGTTACCACAAACACAAAGTAAAATATCATATAAACATAAATTAAGACTTATTAAGCAAATGTAAGGTTAGGCATAATATTAGCAGTGTGCTGAAGGTTAGGGTTAATTTAAAATCTAATTTTAAGAAGATCAATTTTAGAAATGGGCAGGGTTTATTACTTTTTGACTGTGGTAACTAGTGACGACCCATTTGTGTCAATGTGTAATCATTTTTGGCACAGGCTGATGACCACCCATTCTGTCTGTTGAAGCAGGTGCAGTAATTTAAAGAGCGACTTCTCCTAAAAAGCTACTTCTCGTTCTGAAAATGAGCTATGTGGCACCGATAGTGTCAACATTGACTACAAAGTGTAAATAGGTAAATGTTGGTCATAAAGTCAGTCTTGTCCAAAACGGAGATTTGCAAGATGATAGGAAAAAATGTCACTGAATTAAGGATATCCTAACAGTTTTCCTTGGGTTGGGTTAATTTAATCCTGCCCACAGCTGGCAGCACCCAAGTAATCATCCATTCGGAGCATAGCTGCAGGCGACCCCATTGTAATGCCCATGGTCAATTTGGTTTGACATTCGATATTGGTCAGCGCTATCCGGGGTCCTTGGGATAATCCTAACCTTAACCCATACCATCCCTTACCTAACCATTTTCAATTTCAACTTCAATGGGGTAGGGAAGTCCCAAGGACCCCAGATAGCATGGACCATTCCATATCCCTATGGGACTAGTTAGGGACCATAAGTAAATTACACAATGTACATGGGACAATATTTGAAAAGGCCAATAGCTCCAAATTTCAATGACCTAAAAACATCAAACCAACTATAAATTGTAGAAATTCATATACGAATTAAAATCATTTAATGAGACAAGTAAAAGATGTGCAACATTAACATATTGTCCCATTTTACATTGTGTAATTTATTGACAGTCCCTAACTATTCCCAGAGATAGGCTATCCAAAATCAACCAACTTTGCCACTATCACAGACCAGCCAGCTGAAGCTAATTGGCAAAATGATTTGGCTAACTGTTCCCACCTGCAAACACACACAAGAGACACCCAAAAACCAACTAAAGTTAGAATTCAGTCATGGCCGCTGCATTTCTTAATGAGGCTAAATCAGGAAGTGCAGTTGTAATCATGTTTGCCTCTATATCAAGAATATTGTCATCGAAAGTATTTAAATCATGGTCTTTAGATTTGAGATAATGATAAGTTATGATAAGTTAATGATCTTTAGCCTTACTCTTTAGTTTTGTAGTTATCATCTAAGTAGCCTAGAGATAAATAAATGCAAGTTAGTGTAGGGTAGGGGTACATTGATCTCTCAATTTGTTTTCTCAACTATCTGTAAGCAAAGAGACAAGTCAACCAAAAGAGGATAGTGATAAAATGTTGATACCGAGATACAGATACCTAATGTGTGTTTATTGATGTATTTGAAGCATAGCACAATAATACATCAAAGACAATGAAGCTAGTCACTAACTCATTTTATCGACTTCATGCGAAAGTAGAACACATAGATACACATTGACTTTGCGCTAAGCATCAATAGATTACCCTATCTGTGTTTTTAAGCCTGTAGAATATTGAAACAAAACAATGCAGCACTAAATATATACTGTAGGATCTTGCCATAAGTTCTCTCTCACCATTGCAAAGTACAATCAAAGCTCCATCTGCTTCTGTTGCATTTTTTTGGCACAGTCTTCACTGAAAATGTGTATTAATCAAAACTTCTATCCTCCTTTGTACTCAGCCACACAATTAGCTCTTGGACAACTGGCATATCATCAACAACTATAAACAAAAAGGCAAAAAGCACAGCAGGTTACTGAAATGGAATGAATTTTGCTGGTGTGCAGTCGCCCCTCTGCTACTCCTACCCAATCCATGGGTACCAGTGTTCAAATGTGACCAGTCTTCAGAGGGTGTACCACATTTCTTAACAGTCTCCCTCATAGTAGAATGGCTTGTCATGGTAAGTCTTTGTAAATTACCTCTTTGTTTAGTCCAATGCTGCTGCAGACTGACTAGGAGTGGACAGCAGCTCAGCACTCCTTCCTGGTTCTTACTGTCTTGCTGCTGTACTTTATGGGGATCCCCCAGCGTCTCATTAGATAGACATCAAATATGTAGGCCACCCCAGGCTCCAGGCCCCCGATCACGGCTGTTGTGACAGCCCGCCGAGGGTTGAGCTCCTGGAAGTATTTACACAGGACCCTCTCAGTGTCTGACCGTGACTCAGGCCCCAGGCAGGGTGCCGTGCCTCTCTTCTCTCCCTCCCCCAGCCTCTGGCGGTACACGCAGTAAAGGCTCCTCTCCTCTGTGCCCATCCAGGCCAGGGTGACAGATTCACAGCTCCTCAGCCTGTTGAAAGACTTTATCTGCAGAGTGGAGGGGAGCGAAGGTACCCCTTGACGATGGTAAGTGGAGGACGCCTGCATCTTAACAGAGGCCTTCAGCGCTCCTGGAGCAGCTTGTCTGGGAGCCACCTTTCCCTCTTTCTCCAGGTGGATGAGGTAGGAAGGGCTGCCCTGGAGCCAGATCTGAGCCAGGTTTTCTCCCACAGCCTGGGAGCTCATTTCTTGGCCCTTGCTGGAAACGGTGATGTTGATCTTCTCACTGCTTCCGCAGCTCTGGAGAGTGAGCAGGCCACTCTGCTGCCAGCCCCGGGGGCGGAAGCTAAATAACTCCCCAGAGGTTGAGCCTCCATCCCGGAAGGTCACCCACTGGAGCTCCCCTTCCCTAAGTGGTGTGATAGCTTGTCGGGCCTCCTCGTGTGTTTGAGCGAACGTTCCAGTATATGCTGCACTGGTTCCATTTAGCCTGTCAATCAAAAATACGTCAAAGTAGTACTGCGTGTCGGGGACGAGCTCCGAGACAGTGCACACGCTCTCTGTTCCCTTACAAACACATTGGAAATGATCATACTCGTCACGGAGTGCAGCGGGTGATCGGAGCTCAGTGTCAGCATCCCACTGCTGCCACCACCAGTCTTTGAGGATCGGCCACACAGTTACTTTCCTCTGTTTGTTCTTCTTCTCCCTTGTCTTGTCTTTCTCCCGCTCTTTCCTGATGCCCTCCTGGGCGGCACAGAGGTTGCGGTAGTTGTGTTTGCGATTGACGAGGACACAGTAGTCATAGCTGCGTTGGGGGTGCAGCCTTTTGAGGGAGGCACTGGGGGCCCAGCTGAGGGTGACACTGGTCATTCCTACACCCAGGGTGTGGACACGGGAGTCAGAGGGAAGCTGTGGGAAGGCCCACGAGGGCCCAGAGCCCTCATGGAGGTACACAGTAGCCCTGGTGTCCTGGTCCTTGGACCGCAGCCTGAGGATGTAGATAGATGCTGGAGCGTACGAAGGACCTGTGTAGGTGTCCATGGCGTTGCCAGTGTAGGTGTGTATCTTGGCTTCAGTTCCAGGTCCTCTCCACCACACCTCTGGCATACTCTTCTTAGTACTCCCTGTGCAGAAAACACTGTTAAGCCACAGGTCATTACATTTCTGCCCCATACATGCAAATAGTGCCACACACATACTTACACTAACTAGACAGAACATACTCTCACACTCATTGAAGATAGTCTTACAGTTCAATACGTATCTTGATTACTTTTAATTAATACGGTAGTCAACTATAATCAATGAAGTGCCAAAAAGATTTTACCTTATTCATATGAACCCTTTTTCACCATAATTATTCATAGTTTCTCCTAACTTAGAGGGGAACTGCACCTGCTGATTTGCCCTAGTTTTTTTGGCTTGCACCTCAAGAAATGCTTGCAGCATTGAGACACTGACGTGGTTGAATAACTGACGTGATCTTTCTGTCCGGTTTTGCGCCCCCTCGGGCTCGTGCGGCGGGGAAGATGGGCTATACTCTGCCTTGTCTCAGGGTACAAAGTTAGTGATATCGCTTTGGAGGGGGCTGTGCTTTGGCAAAGTGGGTGGGGTTATATCATGCCTGGTTAGCCCTGTCTGTGGGTAACTTTTGACAGGGCCAGTTTCCCCCGGTCGCAGTCTCCATTATCAATGCTGCAGTAGTCTATGTGCCGGTGGACTAGGGTCAGTCTGTCCTATCTGGTGTAATTCTCCTGTCTTATCTGATGTCCTGTGTGGTATGCTCCCTCTAATTCTCCCATCTCTCTCACCGGACACACTGCCTTGTCCTGGACCTGCTGGGTTTCTGTATAAGCACTTTGTGACAACTTCTGATGTAAAAAGGCTTTTATAAATACATTTGATTGATGGTGGCCATGACAGAAGCCAAACGTGAGTTGGCTTGGGGGAGTGGTTTGATGTTGGTGTTACTTGGGTGTGTCCTTTCCACCACAAAGACACACCCATCTGTCAGAACCTTGCCCGCAGCTGTTTCCCACCACTCAATCACAACAAACCTCCTGCAGGTTCTCAACTGGCTTACCTGGTTAAATAAAGGTGAAATAAAAAATAAAAATAAAAACAGGTTGAGTTCAATAACTACAGGGAGATGTATGGTGAGATGCTGGAGGAAGCTTTGAATAGGTCAGTAGCCTACAGAGCGATATGGGAAGAATGCAATTGCTGAATTTATGTAGATATTCTAAACTAAGTGTTTTGATAACTTTCAAATGTAGTAACAGGTCCATGAATAAACCCTTCACATAATAAATAAAACAAACATTAAGAGTACAGATTATTTTATGGGACAATATACAAACCTTATTGAGGAAGATCATTTGAAAAATTTAATTGAGTAAATTTATGTATTGGTTCTCTTAATTTTGATAGTAGAGATGAAAATGTAATACATTGAAGGTTATTTGTTGATGTGAAAATCTAATTTTACAGATTTTAAGGTTGTCATTAGATTTGGGGTGGGACGGGGTCGGCAGCGGGTGTCCCCGCTGAAAAGGTTTTAATACCACTGCCATAGAAGCAGTGTTCAGCTAATATAACAATGTACACCTTTCATTTACATTCCCAGCCGATACAGATACTGTGCCTATTGGCATTTTGTCTGGTGGTAATAGGGATACCTTGGCAAACATGTCAGAGTGGTCATACCTTCCTGTGTGTTGTCCTGTATTCAACAGGAGTTCCCTGATCACGGTTCAGAATACACAAGGTTTCTCTCTCCCTATATTGACTGATACCATTCAATAAAAATAAAAAGACAATACAAATAAATGTTGTGTCTAGTTAACTTTTAATGCTGAGTGCCAGGTCTCCATTCAGAAACATTAGAATCAAGCCCGTCTGTCAGTCTGGACTTCATCACATAATCTTGCAAGTCTCCATGTGCTGGCTCCATACATGTTTCTGTGAACACATTCACACATAGTCACTGTTCTATTACCAATGGCAGTTAGGATAGGGAATATCTGACACACAAACAGGTACTACGTTGAAGTTTGAACAGGTCACACTAAACCTACGTCATTCTGGTCTCGCCATCGACGACCGTTGGTGAGCAGGCAAGAGGTGAGGCTGGAGGTGAAGTGTTTGCCAGAGCCCCATTGATGGCCATAGCAGCGTAGATCAGCTCCTGGCCCCTTATCAAAGATACTGGTCAAAGATACACACACACGCACTATCAATGGTGGTTATGACTAGCCTGGCCGACCCAACCTGATCGCTGCGTTCACCTTTTTATTTAACTTAAGATATCATAAAATGTGAAGTGAAATAGAATGGTGAACACAGCGATCAGACTGGTTCCACCAGGTTAGGTTATGCCCTGGACATTATATGCATCTAAGAAATAGAAAATAAGCAACAAATAATGTCACAATTGGGTTATCAAATGTATCAAAGTAATGAAGTGGGTTACCTTCTGTATTTGTACAGAAGGTGAGCCTGTGAAAGCTGTTGCCGCTGATAGGTGAAGGTTGCTAGCCAGATACTTGTGAACAAACATGTGATTGACTGTTCCATTCATAGGAATGCTCACAGGGAGGGCATGTCTGCATGATGCTGATGAGGGCCCCTTGTTGGTGTTCTCTATGCTGGATGTTCGGCTGCAAACTGGACATCTCTCGAACAACTGCAGCAGGCATCTTATGAGGTTGTGTTGACTGGGAGGGCCTGTGACAGGGTGATATAGTAGACAGCCAAGTGGTAAACTGCATTTTGCTAATGCACTTAACAACCAAAATGACTCTACTAGTTGTATTTGCTTGGCTGGGGAATTAGCCTATTAGTTTATCTAGCCGGGTATTTTTTTTATACAACTTTTCACATAACACACATTACCTGTCGTTGTTGATGAAGCCGTCTGTGTCATCAGGGCAGTAAATCGGCCCACTATCAGAGGCCTCATGATGGCGTATCCTTTCATAGGAGTCGAGGGAGAATGCAACAACCGAGGAGGTGTCACAAGGGTACTTGTGTCGCATAACACTTTTATTATGAAGTCTTTTTTTTAAACCTTTATTTAACTAGGCAAGTCAGTTAAGAACAAATTCTTATTTACAATGGCGGCCTACACCGGCAAACCCGGACGATGCTGGGCCAATTGTGCGCTGCCCTATGGGACTCCCAATCACGGCCGGTTGTGATACAGCATGGAATTGAACCAGGGGGTCTGTAGTGACGCCTCAAGCACTGAGATGCAGTGCCTTAGACCGCTGCGCCACTCGGGATGTGTCTTACAAGCTATGAAAATAAGAGAACAGTGAACTAAATTATTTTTGGAGGTCTCTAAACCATTGCAATCACATTGCTGGACATGTTGGTGGTCGCTCAATACGGAAGTGGTCAGATGACGCGGATGCTACGCTACAGGACTGTTTTGCTAGCACAGACTGGAATATGTTCCGGGATTCATCCAATGGCAAACAGGCAAAGCGTCATGCCTTTTATGCTCGCTTCAAGGCAAGCAACACTGTAGCATGCATGAGAGCACCAGCTGTTCCGGACGACTGTGTGATAACACTCTCGGTAGCCGACGTGAGCAAGACCTTTAAACAGGTCAACATTCACAAAGCCGCCAGGCCAGACGGATTACCAGGATGTGTACTCAAAGCATGCCAGACCAACTGGCAAGTGTCTTCACTGACATTTTCAACCTCTCCCTGACTCTGTAATACCTACAGTTGAAATCGGAAGTTTACATACACTTAGGTTGGAGTCATTAAAACTCGTTTTTCAACCACTCCACAAATGTCTTGTTAACAAACTATAGTTTTGCCAAGTCGGTTAGGACATCTACTTTGTGCATGACACAAGTAATTTCTCCAACAATCATTTACAGACAGATTATTTCACTTATAATTCACTGTATCACAATTCCAGTGGGTCAGAAGTTACATACACTAAGTTGACTGTGCCTTTAAACAGCTTGGAAAATTCCAGAAAATGATGTCATGGCTTTAGAAGCTTCTGATAGGCTACTTGACATCATTTGAGTCAATTGGAGGTGTCCATGTGGATGTATTTCAAGGCCTAACTTCAAACTCAGTGCCTCTTTGCTTGACATCATGGGAAAATCAAAAGAAATCAGCCAAGACCTCAGAAAAAACATTGTAGACCTCCACAAGTCTGGTTCATCCTTGGGAGCAATTTCCAAACGCCTGAAGGTACCACGTTCATCTGTACAAACAATAGTACGCAAGTATAAACACCATGGGACCACGCAGCCGTCATCCCGCTCAGGAAGGAGACGCGTTCTGTCTCCTAGAGATGAACGTAATTTGGTGCGAAAAGTGCAAATAAATCCCAGAACAACAGCAAAGGACCTTGTGAAGATGCTGGAGGAAACAGGTACAAAAGTTCTATATTCACAGTCAAACGAGTCCTATATCGGCATAACGTGAAAGGCCGCTCAGCAAGGAAGAAGCCACTGCTCCAAAACCGCCATAAAAAAGCCAGACTACGGTTTGCAACTGCACATGGGGACAAAGGTCGTACTTTTTGGAGAAATGTCCTCTGGTCTGATGAAACAAAAATAGAACTGTTTGGCCATAATGACCATCGTTATGTTTGGAGGGAAAAGGGGGACCCTTGCAAGCCGAAGAACACCATCCCAACCATGAAGCACAGGGGTGGAAGCATCATGCTGTGGGGGTGCTTTGCTACAGGAGGGACTGGTGCACTTCACAAAATAGATGTCATCATGAGGAAGGAAATGTATGTGGATATATTGAAGCAACATTTCAAGACATCAGTCAGGAAGTTAAAGCTTGGTCGCAAATGGGTCTTCCAAATGGACAATGACCCCAAGCATACTTCCAAAGTTGTGGCAAAATGGCTTAACAAAGTCAAGGTATTGGAGTGGCCATCACAAAGCCCTGACCTCAATCCTATAGAACATTTGTGGGCAGAACTGAAAAAGCGTGTGCGAGCAAGGAGGCCTACAAGCCTGACTCAGTTACACCAGCTCTGTCAGGAGGAATGGGCCACAATTCACCCAACTTATTGTGGGAAGCTTATGGAAGGCTACCCAAAACGTTTGACCCAAGTTAAACAATTTAAAGGCAATGCTACCTAATACTAATTCAGTGTATGTAAACTTCTGACCCACTGGGAATGTGATGAAAGAAATAAAAGCTTAAATAAATCACTCTACTATTATTCTGACATTTCACATTCTTAAAATATAAGTGGTGATCCTAACTGACCTAAGACAGGGAATTTTTACTAGGATTAAATGTGTATGTAAACTACCGACTTCAACAGTACATGTTTCAAGCTGACCACCATAGTCCCTATGCCCAAGGAAGCGAAGGTAACATGCCTAAATGATTACCGCCCCATAGCACTCACGTCGGTAGCCATGAAGTGCTTTGAAAGTCTGGTCATGGTTCACATCAACAGCATCATCCCGGATACCCTAGACCCACTCCAATTGGCATATCGCCCCAACAGATCCACAGATGACGCAATCTCAATCGCACTCCACACTGCCCTTTCCCACCTGGACAAAAGGAACAGCTTTGTGAGAATGCTGTTCATTGACTACAGCTCAGTGTTCCAACACCATAGTGCCCACAAAGCTCATCACTAAGCTAAGGACCCTGGGACTAAACACCTCCCTCTGCAACTGGATCCTGGACTCCCCGACGGGCCGCCCCCAGGTGGTAAGGGTAGGCAACAACACGTCTGCCACGCTGATCCTCAACACTGGGCCCCTCAGGGGTGCGCGCTTAGTCTCCTCCTGTACTCCCTGTTCACCCACGACTGCGTGGCCAAACACGACTCCAACACCATCATTAAGTTGACGACACAACAGTGGTAGGCCTGATCACCGACAACAATGAGACAGCCTATAGGGAGGAGGTCAGAGACCTGGCAGTGTGGTGCCAGGACAACAACATCTCCCTCAATGTGAGCAAGACAAAGGAGCTGATCGTTGACTACAGGAAAAGGCGGGCCGAACAGGCCCCCATTAACATCGACGGTGCTGTAGTGGAGTGGGTCGCGAGTTTCAAGTTCCTTGGTGTCCAAACACACAAAGACAGTCGTGAAGGGGGCACGACAACACCTTTCCCCCCTCAGGAGACTGAAAAGATTTGGCATGGGTCCCCAGATCCTCAAAAAGTTATACAGCTGCACCATCGAGAGCATCCTGACCGGTTGCATCACCACCTGGTATGGCAACTGCTTGGCATCTGACCGTAAGGTGCTACAGAGGGTAGTGCGTACGGCCCAGTACATCACTGGGGCCAAGCTTCTTGCCATCCAGGACCTATATATACTAGGCAGTATTTTCTTAACTCTTTCTTGAACGGCATTGTTGGTTAAGGGCTTGTAAGTAAGCATTTCACGGTAAGGTCTACACCTGTTGTATTCGGCGCATGTGACAAAGTTTGATTTCATTTTTATTTGTTATGATACCCACCTTTGCTCCTTTTGATAGGGCATCCGTTCATGACCAGGTGATCAGTCTGGCACCCAACTGTGCACTTTATCTAACAGAAAAACAGGGTCAACGATTGTCATCATCCCTCAATTATAAACATAGCTCAAGAAATAACGTAATTTCATTTGGATCCTAATTCTATGCTTTACAGATGTAGACTGACCTGCTCCAGATTGGATTAGATTCAGGCCGGTGACGCCCTTACACTATGCAACCAACTGTGACCCATTTTGCTATGGCCCTGGGCTGGTTTGAGTTTGTTGCTGCTAGTTAGTACACTGTTGTTGTCAGACATGAGTTAGCTAGTACCACCATAGCTAGCTGCATTCATTATTCATTTGTGCCCTAGACATGGGTTGCATCTCGCTAGCTAACATATGGTGGTCCCCTTAATCTTCGTTAGCTGGCTAAAGTTATACTGCATCTAAAGTCAATCTGGTGACACCCGAATCGTCACAAAAGGTTGTCCTACTAATTATTTGCCTTCTTTTGAAATGTCATCGTGTTTCCAAGCCAAATCCGAGTTGTATTGAGGTAGGTAACTAGCTAGCTAGTTGGTAGCTAGTTAGCTAAAGTCAGCTATGATAGCGATGATTGTGATAATGATTATCAAAATATACATAACCAGACACATAACCAGCAGTCTATGGTCTAGCTACCGGTATACTCACCACCACTGGGGACCAATGAACTCCAACCACCTATTCCACATGATAGGGTCCTTCGGCAGGGAATGCAAACCATAATTGTTGGCTGTGCAATTCTGCTGGAAACATGTATTTCATGGCAAATCCGTATAGGGCTTTTCAGTCTCACGGCGGTGATCCTTTGAACGCGTTGGGGGCGATGAAACAATGAAGCCACATTCAATGAAGGGAAACGAAGGGGCGATGTGCACGTGGAGTTTGGCAAAAGGGGGCATGATTTGTTGACATTGTAATCCAAACCCAACCTTCATTTACTCGTGAAGCACTGAGGTTCCAAACTCCGTTTTAGACTAGACTGACTTTATTACCAAATGTATCCAATTTACAATTTTTAGTCAATTTTGACACTAGAATACATGTTTCTGACTCATATCAATGCCACACAGTCTGTTTTCAAAGGGTTTAGTTGGTTTTAGGGGCAGTCACTCTTTAATAAGGAAATAAAAGGGGACCAAATGTTACACAATCAAAGTGAATAATTTAGGCAGAGGTTGGGAAGCCTTGTGTTCACACACTGAATGATTTACACTGAGTGTACAAAACATTATGGACAGCTTCCTAATAATTGTTTTTTTTTGTTGTCTTTTTTTTTGTATTTTATTTTATTATTATTTTTAGTCATTTAGCAGACGCTCTTATCCAGCGCGATTTACAGGAGCAATTAGGGTTAAGTGCCTTGCTTAAGGGCACATCGACAGATTTTTGACCTACTCGGCTCAGGGATTAGAAGCAGCGACCTTTCGGTTACTGGCACAACGCTCTTACCCACTAAGCTACCTGCCGCCCTTTTGCTGGCCCCTTTTGCCCTCAGAAAAATACTCATGTTTTGTACACAGTGTATGTGTCACTGTTGGAGGATGTTGCATGACATTATTGCTAGCCTAAAAAGGCTACTTGTTAGTTTAATCGATGCACAAAATCTTTTTTTTTAAGCACAACCAGAGATTATTATAACATTTAAAAGAAAATTAATGTATTTATGTAGCTTAGACTTATATGTTCTCTATTTTGTCCCTCAAGTTATATTTTTGCAACTCTTGAAGAGGTTTTCACCAGATATGCTCGGGTTTCACTTAGCCCATAGTATCACAAATAAAAACTGCAGAGTCTGATCTTGGGCATGAATATGATACATTTTCAATGGAATCCTAAATGTCCAAATTAAGCTGAATTTCAGTTTACACTGTACAGGCTAGAACTTGCATGCCGTTCTGTACAAATCTATCTATATTGCTCTTAGAAGTCACTGTATATGTCTTATTTTAAATGGCAAATGTTTTAACTCAAGACCAATGGATTGATTAAGTCTCTCCTATCTTGTAGACATTTATGACTAGGGTTAGTCTTTTAATGGCCACTATGTAAAAAATAAATGGCTCCAGTGTGAATTGGATTATGGTGTAATGAAACCGAATTGATATGAATAGGAATTGCATGTGAGTGGGTGTTGTGTGTAGTTGCTTTTATTGTCTATCAGTGTTTCACACTCACAGTGCAGACTCTTAGGCGGTTTGTCCTTCAGGGTTCGGGCTTCAAGGGTCCATTCGATGGGGAGGTCACAGGGACTGACGGTCACAGACATCATCGCAACCTTCTTCTTCAGTGTGAAGTACAGCCTGCACGACGATAGGTACCACACAAAAAAGTGTTCATGTCTTTTTCGTCCCCCATAACACTAAGAAAGGTACTGTAACATGTAGCCGTCAAAGCATTTCCAAAATGTACAAAATGTCTACCAGTTTTTTTCTCTCCATACGCTGATAAACCCATAAAGTAAACAAGGAAAGGTCAACTAACAATCTGTGATGAGCTTCCATGGACCTGCGCTGTACAGGTGGAGATCTCTTTGCTGTAACCATCTAAAATCGTGCTTAGCATGAAGACAGCAATGTTGCTTTGAATGTCAAGCTATTATAGGACCATGAAACATTTGTCATTGCATTGCTATAATAGATATCCCTCCTCACCGTGTGGGATGACAATCCACAGAACTGCAGACTTTGGACACACAATGGCACACTCCATGTTAAAATTCACATCTCCATGTTAGACCCTACACATCTCTGTGCTTAGACATTATGGTCTCCTTCTACAAGCTTATTGTTGACCTTCACAATATAATTAGATTCAAACTCACCAACTGACCATTACATCATTATCACCGACATCATTATTTGATCATCTTTGTATTGTCGCCAACATCACTCATCAAGGTGAATCATTCAATATCGAGACGTAACATAATTGACCTCTATGTTATAATAGCCTCCAGAAAATCATCATTCTTTTACATGTATGTTCTGGATCAACTGCTGCTGTTTCTCAACAGCTGTGCCATGCTGACGTTGTCAAGGGCAATACTTGGTTTAATTGATTGATTAATTAGAATCATCATTAGCGGATGTTTTTCTCATTTAAAAATTGTTTTGTTTCATTATGCACAAATGCATTGATGGACAGACTGCAGCTCACACGGATGCCCATATTCCAATTTACAGCTCCCAGTGTTAGAGCTCTACCACTGGCACTGATCAGCAGAGCCTGGGCCAAGTGGGCTGCTCTTCCTGCCCATGGGGCCACTGCACTGAATCACTGCCTTTCCAACAACTAAAGAAATGGATATTAAGATTAAGGCAATCATTGTTGTTGCTCAAACCCATGAAGAATTACACAGGAAATTACCGTTTAGGTACCTTGTAATTATATAGCCCTTTGTAGTGACAGTATAAAGTTGGACAAAGACAGGATATTAAACAGAGGCCTCTCTTAAGTATTTCAATATATGTCCAGGACATGGAACATAAACATTTACTGTGCAATACTATCCACCTCCCCTGGAAGGGTCTCTATACTGTACCTTCGGGTCCGTCCTTTGGGCAGATGTATGGTGGTGACCTTTCCATCAGGCAGCCAGGCGGTGGGGCGAAGTGGCACCTCGTTCTCAGGAGCCAGAGCCGAGTGTCCTTGGGGCCAGGGGGGGCCACAGAGGAGAGCCACGGCCAGCCAGAGATACCAGGCCATCGCTGCCATCATTCACACTCAGTCACCACTATGCCGTCCCCCAGGAACTGAAAGAACAGGGGAAAGGTCAAAAGCATCCATCAGTTCCATCACATACAGTTCTGCTCCTACCATTCATGTACTAAAGAGGTCTAGCAGCAGATTATTCATTAATATGAGGAAACATTTCCACTGTTCACACGGAATTATTCATGCAGGAAAGCAAATTGTCTTGCTATAATACTCTGGATCTGTATAGCGCAGCTTGACACTTAGTGAAAAATCCCTCATCGTACGACTTTCAAGTGTGAAGTGGATTGCAAATATCACTCATGGGTTTGTTCTCTAAATATAGGATATTTTTTCATGGTCTTTACATCCCTTGTTATCGGAGAAAAGCAGCCAATTTAGTTTGGATCGACGTAAACAACACCTGGAGGTGCTTTAGTATAATCCAATTGGAACACAGATTCTTTTGACAAAAGCAGACAAAGCTGCAAAAACTTTGAAACAATTTTCAGATTGGGATGTTTTTTTCTTTCCTGTTCTCGCTGTTGTGATGATTTGTAGATATGATTACAGGTCTTGGCTCTCGTCTCCAGAGAGAAAATGCATTCGTTCAAAGTCACAGTCTTCAAAAACGTCCTCTTTTTGGCGTGTGTTTGTCAGCGTCAAGGCTGTGCCCTGCAGATCAGATGACAATCGTACGTAGGCACTAGGCAGATGCATCTGAGTCTTGATCAGGCCCTGGGACCTCCAAGTTCCACACCAACAACAGCTGCATCATTACAAAGTATGGAGGATCTCATTATCCCAGTAGAGGAGTGAGCAACCCATAAAGCTTTTACAGAGAGGGAGGAAGATGTGGAGAAAGAAATGAGAGAGGGAGGGGGAGTGAGAGAGATTGAGAGAGAGAGTAATGAGAGAAATGAGAGAAGGGGGAGGACATGGGGTCCAGAGTAACCGAGAATGAGAAATGGAGAGAGAGAGAGACTGTGACAGGAAAATAAGAGAAAGTGTGATGGAAAGAGGCACACAAATGAAGCTGATTGGTGTTTACTACAGCTCCATGTCTAATGGGCTCATAACTGGTGTCACGTGCATACTATTAACCAGACCTCTGCCCCCCCTCCCCCCCCCTCTCTCTGTCCCCTTCTCTCTTTTTCTCTCTCTGTCCTCTTCTCTCTCACACACCCCTTCTCTCTCTCTCTGTGTGTGTGTCTTTCTCTCTCTCATTCAGTCTTGTTTCTTCTCTAAATGTGACTGCTGATAAAATATGCATACGTCTCCTCAGCAAATGAATTTTCATAAGGCAAAAGGGCCGGGTCATATACTCTTAGAAAAAAGGCTTCCAAAAGGGTTCTTCAGCTGTCCCCATAGGATAACCCTTTTTGGTTCCAGGTAAATCCCCTTTTGGTTCCAGGAAGAACCCTTTCGGGTTCCAAATAGAATCTTCTGTGGAAAGAGTTCTACCCAAAACGGTTCTACTTGGAACCAAAAGGGTTCTTCCTGGAACAAAAAAAGGGTTGTTCAAAGGGTTCTCGTATGAAGAAAGCCTAAGAACCCTTTTAGGTTCTATACAGCACTTTTTCTTCTGAGAGAGAGAGAGAGAGAGAGAGAGAGGTGAACTTAACCAACAGTCTCTATAAATATACTGCTTTACACACACGGTCCTCACGGACAGTGATGGTGGCGCTGATTCTCCTGCGACAGGATTGGGGCGTTGAGTTTATTACCATGTCTCTCTTTCTTCCTCCATCACTCATTTCTGTCTCTCTTACAGTAAGCCGTTCCTATCTCATTTCTTTATTTTTGTCTGTTTTGTTTGTTTTTCAGCACTAAATGCACATTTATTTAAATCCTTCTCTTTTTCTCTTGTATAGCCACTATCTCTAATCAGCTTTCACTGTGTCTCGGTGCTCACAGGCCTGGAGTCAGTTTCAGAGTGCTCAGTCCTACTGTACGTTATCAGTACAGACACGGTGTCAGATGCCTTCTGTCCTAGACTCAGGGGTCCCATCTGCCTCCTGTGAGTGGGTTGGAGGGACAGATTAAATGGCATGGGTATGTCCCCAAAGGATTTGGTGTACCCTCACCAATATGGGATGGGGGGGGTTTGGGGGTACATGATATGGCGAGGGGGTGGGAGGTAGAGGGTAGGGGGAGCTGGATCTTGATAGGATTTTATGGCTGATTTTCTACCCCATTGCTAGTGTCTGAGTGTGTTAGCCTTCTCTCTCCCTCATATCCACCACCCCTTCTTTCTCTCCCTCTCCCTCTCTCTCTCGCACACACACACACACACACACACACACACACACACACACACACACACACACACACACACACACACACACACACACACACACACACACTCCTGCTGGATCTTCATTACATAGGTCCTCTTTCCTGCTGCTATCACTTCCCACTACACATTCACACTTAGCAACTCTTATGGGAAAGTAGAGGAACAGACTGAGATACAGGCTGACAGAGAGACACAGAGAACAAGACAGGTTGACGGACAGAGAGCCAGACAAATGATTGACAGACAAGCAGTCATAGTCAAACATACAATGGTTTAGAGGAAAGCTATGTAGAAAATGATGTAAGTAAAAACAAGAAGAAAGACATAAAAGCTTCACTATCTGCGTCATCTGTTTGTCCCACCGACAACAAACGCAAAGTACTCCAAACCCCCACACAGCTTTCTCCAACCTCCTAAGACTGAGAGAAAAAAAGGCTCTGATGTAGAAAACAAGTTTGAATAATATCCAGGCTTGTTTATCGATGTGAACATTTCAAGATGATGCACACACAGGCACTTGACAACAACAACATGCGTGTCCTTACCTCACAGTGCACTCCAGAGCAGAATACGAAGGATGAGAGGAGAGACGGACGGGAGGAGGATGAGAGACGGACGGGAGGAGGAGCTCGAGCAAACACTCAGGTTGTTGTTGGACGCCCCCTTCCCTTCCTTGGGGTTTGCCTCTCTGCTTTAATAGGTGTCCAGCTACCACAGCACAACTCCCAGTGTGTGTATGTTCAGGTCCCGAGGCACAGTATTGGGTATCTGCAGGTCCCACTCAGTCACACATGGAGCCTTGCTCCGTACGTGTCCTAGAAGATCTGTGATCACTATGTGGATGTCAGCCAGTCCGTGAGTAAAGCTTCTCTCTCTTCTCTCCTCTTCTCCTCTCCTCTTTTCTCATTTTTTTCTCTCCTATTCTCCAGTCCTGTTCAGAGCTCACTGGTAAGTGAGCAGCACAAATCAAACAGAGGTAGACACATGTGTGTAGTGTGTGTGTGAGTGAGTGAGAGTGAGGGGACGGATGGTGAGGTCGCAGAGTGGGGGTGGTGGTGAGGGGAGTGTGTGCAGAAGAGAGGGGGGGGGGGGGGTTTGTCAGGAGCAATGGGAGAGGGTGATGATACAAAACTTGCCCACATTAACCATTCGCTGGAGGATCTGATAAGATCTGTATTGATTATGAACTGGGAGCTTGAGGTCACATCTTGTTCTGCCATTTGATTTGGTGCCAAGATTGCCTCTAATTGACTATGAACACAAGAATAATGGCTCAACAGACAGAAGACATGTCAATGAAATACCACCCCAGCCAGTGACAGTAGCACAACATAGCATAGTGTTGTGAACTGAAAATGTACACCAGGCAGGGCAAGCAATGTCTAAAGCCGGGAACTAGGTTGGAGTGGTGCGGTGTGGTGTGAGGAGGTACGGGGCCCCCTAGGGGACAAATACAGCTTTCAGAGGAGCAAGGAGCACATTGACATCAGTGGCTCTCCAACCCCACCCACCCTCCACTCTCATCTCCACACAAAGACACACAATGGAGAGCCTCATGTAGGGTACTCTCTGCTCCGATCTTTAATCAATATCGTCAGAAAATGGAAGAGGCCGTTTGCATTGTGTGCTACTCCCCTCTCTTTTCTCTCGCCAGGGCTTTTCTGACCCATTCTTTAGCTACTTCAGCAAGGTTATTGAGGAGCTCTGAATCGAGCCAGTTCACCCAGAGGGAGTATTGTCTGTCATTACACTAACCTGAGAGCCCTCTGCAATATGGGGGCTTAAAGCAATACCTCCTGCAAATGTATTAATGAGAATATTAGTGATCGGTGCAGTAGCAAAATCGGTCTCCCCTTTTAGGAAGGACCCCTCACTGCTGCTGGACTCTCTTTCAAAGCTATCAGCTACCCCCCTCTTTCTCCCTCCCTGGCCCACTTTAGAGTCCCTCTGAAGTTTTAAAAGTTGAAAATCTGGCTGAGCACAATATGGCTGATTCTTTGAAGGCTAGATTCTGATTAACCTTTGGGGGTTATAGCCTATTTACAACTGACTGTGTGCATATTACATTTATTTCAGTGCTGCTGTTTAGTGGGGGAAATGGATCAGCATGTCCGAAGGTAATGTCAGGAAAGTATTCCTGTTCCAGAATCCACCTCTGTCCCTGTTGTATCTGTAAGGTAACTCAGCCTGCCTGCTAGCCTATGACAGGTATACCAGACACCAACAAAACGCAGACCCTCTCTCCTTTTCTTTCTCTTTCTTTGGTGGGGTCTGCGCCATCAGAGCTGGCCTGGATATTTCTTTTGATCCTACAGCTTTCCCTCTCTTATGTTGCCTTTAATAATTTATCAACAAACAGTCACTGGACTAACTCCGTCCGCTGAGAGCGACAAAAACCAAGAGAGAAAATGTCATTTAAATAATTGCATGAAAGAAACTGCACAATTGCCACTTTCATTCATTATTTATGTCTGCTTACAAGTCATGCATAATGCAGGCACCGTCTTTATGACGATCATGTATTAAATATAATGTTTTTAGGGATGGGGGCTCAGTTGTACGAGACAAACAGCATGGTGACTGTTTGTAGAGTGACTGGATGTAGCAGCACAGTGCTGCGACTGTATTGTGGAGTGTTGCCTGGAAAGTGTTTGAGATAGAGAGAGAGAGGTTGCTAGTTGACAATGGGTTAACAGGAATCTTTATTTTTAACAACGTATCATCA